GGCAAAACAACCCAGGGACTGAAACGGGAGTTGGACAAGCTCATTGGGTTTCCAAACCCACGGCTTCCAGCCGCCTCATGCTGAGGGAACATAAGGAAACAATTACAGCGACTGCTAGATATGATTCCCACATGAGATAAAACTACAATATAACCATACCCGAAGGCAGAACTGCCAGGATTAGAAGGCCTTTTATCTTCAGCTAAGGACTTATCTTGAACACTTGGGTGAGATCACTTGTTTACTGGTGTCAGAACCTCAGCAGGAACACAGCTCTAAAAAACAGGCGGTTAATTACAGAACAGCACTTCTCAGCGGGCGTAAATACTTGTTTACTACACCAATAATACCGATAATAAAAATATTCTCAGCTATATTAATAACAGGGGACTGAGCTCAAGGCATGCAAACTGCCTTTCAAACCAATTTCTCTGTTGCTATGACAACTCATCCAAAGTATCCAGTTGGCCCAATAAGCCCAGTAATTAAAACCCATATAATTAATTGGTCCTGCCTTCATCGGTTTGAAACGGGCCTCTGCAATAGACTTTCTGTCAGAGTCGACAGCTAAACTGAAAACCTCCTTACAATAGGAAACATGGATACCAAGAGAAAAGGAAATTCTGTGTTATCATTTAATATAATATATAAACAAAAGCCCATTTCTCATTAATTTGATGTTTATCATTCTATGATGTTTCTAAAGTTTGAATCTGTGTATTACAAATACAGTTGAGGGAAAATTTGTTGTTAGTTTGTAACAAAAAAGGCCCCTCAGCAATTAAATAGGCCAATAGGTTAGCTGTCTCAAAACTTCTTTATGCTCAACTTAAGCATGCACAAGTTGTGCATAAATAGGTATTTAGCAATAACACTTCAATTTTCATTTTGTCAGACCACAGGACACGTCTCCATAAATTTGTTCCGGTCTGCATCCCGCTTTATTAATCACAGTAAAAAACTCCACTGTGGATAATTACAGAAGCTTATGTTTTATATGCTTTTTTTAAATAGGTAAATGAAATTACGTCCATCATCAGGATACAGAGCTGTTCTTTGTAAACATTATGATGGCTAGATTTTCCATTGGGTTAATATATAAATGTTTAGGGAGATGAATGCGGACCTTTGTGGATGAATTATGGAAAAACCCTACGAGTTACTGCAACAATTTATTTGGGATAAATTAAGTTTTTTTTATTAAATAGAATCTGGAAAGTGAAGCAAACATTTTAAATCATATCAATGAAGATGCATAATCATTTAGATTCTTTTGATTTCTCTATGGTTTCCTTAAACTGATCCACGTGTTCTGTTTAACTCAGTTGTGTACTGATTTGATCATAAAAATATTCTGGATTTTTTAAAATAGGAAAAAATAAGACAATAAGTGAGGCTAAATGTAAATGTCTGGACTTGTGCACTATAAACTCACTTGTTCATCACTAGAGTAGATACTGAGACCTGTGTTGGTCTCCATTAGCTCTGCCAGACTGCGCATCAGATCTGACTGCTAATTATCTGCATTTCCCTCTGCAAGTCAAGAAACAGGACATGTGCACCCCAACATGTTCTCCCTTCACACTAGCCTCTCTATTTATGACCTTCCCTGGTAAACAAACCAGGCTAAAAACACAGACACTCATTCACCCCATTCTCACATGCCTCCCTGTTTCCGTGTCAGTAGCCTCGACATAAACGGTGCTTTCAGAACGGAGTGACCTTGGGGTTCAACGCTCATATGTGTGCTCCAGGAGGTTCTGGCAAAGACTTCTTTGCGCCAGTGTCATTTCTCATTTGTTTCTGTGGCACTTTGGCCCGGCTTGGGCAAACTTTCCCCTCTCTAAGCCAGCATCGAGCCCAGGCCAGCAGCGTGGGAAAAAAAAAAAAGAAATCCCAGCCCTTGCATTCACATCGAGATAGCGGAGAAGAGAGGAGCTCTCATTTGCTCTCATCTTCGTAACATTTTCCTGGAAATGGTTCACATGGGCTCCTGCGCAACTGCGAGAGCTATAGTGTTCCTTCAATTTATTGATAGCGAAAAGTGGAAATGGCTTTGAAAAGCGCAGCAGTGGCCAGAGGCTGTCCCTCTTTAACTCGCTCCAGCAACGAGTCTTTTAATGAAAAAGCGTGGACCACACAGACTGAGCTCTCATCGGGAGCTTATTCCCCAAGGCGATGCTTGAAATGTCAGGCTTGAGCTGGAGGATGCAGAGCATTAGAAAAAAAAAGAAAAAACTCCATACGGGTGGAGATAGGAGGAAGTGGAGGCCCTGCAGGTAAACGGGATGAGAAATGCATCCCAAGATCTGCCTGAGGCATGGCAGGCCCTTCTGTTACAACAATTAGCAGACAAGTGCTCCACTGACTCTAAATTAATATTTAATGACAAAGAGGTATTTTGCCTTAGGATAGGAGAGATAAGAAGATGGAGCATTCAAATTTTCACAAAGCTGGATACACACAGTTAAGCTACACTACAAAGAGGAGCCTTCAATTTACTAAACAGTCGGTCAAACTAGTAGAGTGGTACTTGAAATTTTTTTTAGCTCTTTAGAGCTCAGGCTTGTTTTTATTTTCCTGTAGTTCCAGAATTTCCTGTTAGTCTAGTTGTTCTTGTTAAATCTAAGCAGCTTTTACAGATTCAAAAAAAGGTTTGTGACCTGTGCAAATTCACATGGCAGGCTGCCAGTCAAACCCAAACTAACAGGAAGTCCAATTATCCAATGTAAGTGAAAGTACTTGTGTGAAGCTGCAGGTGTTTGCTGCAGAAGTCTAATTAAGGTAACATTCAATCTGAGAAAGATAAATCTGTGCAAGTTTATTTCAGTTCAGCTAATTTCAGATTCTATATAACAGCAAGTTACATTAAGGAGCAGAAAGCAGAGAGAAATCTGATATATAATGACTTTTATGCTTTATTGATTAAGATCAAGGTTATTCAAGGTTTATTCAAACTTGTTGAAAATTAAATCTTAGTGAAGCAGAAAATTTTCCAAAACACCATTCGAACTAAAATACCATTTGTCTGTTTTATTCTTTAAATTCTTTAAATCCCTTTTAGCATTCCTCCAAAGCACAGTTTTGAGGTCAGGAGCTTAAGTGGGACTACTTTACCCCAAAATCCCACATCATCTTTACCCGCCCTCTCCGTTACTGACTGCCTATGAAAAGCAGTTCCTCCCGTCTTGCTCCGCTTTGAGTTCCTTGGAACTCGAGCAGAGCGTGAGCAATAATATTTGTTAATTCATAGAAGCAAAATATGCGGTAATGACCGCCTAATTTAATATAACATAATAATGTTGCTGCCCAAACGTTTTCTTTTCGTTGTGGATCTCTGTAATAGGGATAACTAGGATCATACAGAATTGGTTTGTTCTCTACATCCAAACTCAGCATCTCTTCATCCATGCCTACGATAAGAAGTTTTTTTTGAAGTTGTGAGAGGTGCTTTGTTGAAACTTTTAAGCATCTAAGTATAAAATAAATATTTTGATCAAGATGACAAATCTGCTGCCTGGTATGTTGAAGTACTAATAGTTTGCATCCAATATTTTCATGAAATGGTCTTAGTTTTGGGGAATATTTAAGAATTATTCTCTTATTTGTAGTAACCAATCTGTCATTACCATATTTAAAATTGACAAACCAGATCTTCTCGAAGTTCTTTTTCCTATTTGATGCGATTGCAATTGGTGATCCTGACCTGGCCGGCTTTAAATGGAGTGGAGCGGAGCAAAAAATAGCTTGGCTTCATATTTTGACGGTGAAGGATGGAGAAGACATGGAAGGTGAAGTGTGAAGGACTGGCGGTAGATGTATAACAGTTCTCATTGATAAAGATGACTGTGCAAGTGCTCTGCAGGACGTACATGAGCGGGGCAGAGCAGAGGGGTGACGGAGGATGTGGAATCTGGGGGTTAAATTCTCAGAACTTATTTGCACCCCCAAAAAAACAAAAAGGTGTCGATAAGTCAACTTCTCCCATACAAAACTGGCTTGACCACAGATTAATGTAACATTCTTTTCGCTTTGGTTAAAAGTCATGCTGGAATAGGACAGGGATCTATCTTGAAAATCTCATTGACATTCTCCAGCACGTCTTGACATGCTGAATCATCTGGTGTTCTTTTTACTGGAGGTGAGCCAAAACTCCCTTCACCATAAGCTCAACTGTGCCAAACTTTATCCAAACATTACATCACTACCAACATCCCAACATAAATGAATGCAACTCTTACTAAAAGACTGTTGGATGCACCATTCGGTAAACGTGCATAAATAGATATGTTATTTTAGTGGTTGAAATGTTAAAAGTTTTTAAAGGGTGGTGGGATATTTGTTATATGTGAAAGGCAGTAAAGACATGTTATACTATTTTTTTTTTTAAAGAAAAAGTTTTTTTTAAAGTTTTTTTTCCTTTTCAATCTTGGTAGATTTGTAGCTTCACATCTCTAAATCTGAGCCAATATATTTAAGAATCATTAAGGAAAATATTGGAATGTATACATTCTTGTTTTTACCTAAGATATGCAAAAAAATGACTCATAACTTCAAGGCCAAAAGACGAAGACCCAACCTTTCAACAAAACTACTATAATTAGTCAGGAAGAAGGTCAAACAACACCGACATGAAGCACAAAATGTGAGCATCAATTAGTGATACTGTGTGGGCGAGCTGATTAACGCTGTAATTCCAGAGTCCACTTTGACCTGCCTGCAACTGCGCAGCAGGAGCACACTGATTACTGACCCAATTAACAGGCATTATTATGGAGAAGCTTGTTATTTTAATTTAAGAAGATTTGCAGCAGCTAGGGTTCTGAGCTAAACTATGTGCATCTGTTGATGAGGACTTCTAAAAGACAGGAACAGCCTAACTTTAGAAGCAAAATGACCTATATTTCACCAAAAAAATACTATTTAACTGATTTTGTAAAACACAATGATCTTTTGTGTATACAGTCAAATAGAGAGTTTAAGCAGTGTAAAAGACCAACCTTTCCGGGTGCACGCTTGAGGTGGCGGGACTGGGAGCAATAGAGACGAGGGCGGAACATCGAAGCTTTTCGGTGTGCATGCCAAATGCTGCGAGGAGAAGTTCTGCTGTCTCTGGATACAGGCTAGCATGATAGCTCACTGGGCCGGCAGGCAGCCTGGATTATCCTGCTGAAAAAAAAAAAAGAAGGGGGGGGGGCAATTCATACACTGTCTTTATCAATTTAAATAGTGTTGAGTGGGATCAACTACTGATCTTTGAGTGTTTAAAACATTTTTTACAATAATTAACTTTGAATTCTCATGAGGTTTATATCTGGAACTTTAAAATAAGCAAACATCAAAGAAAAAATTATTCAGAAATTAGAAGGCTATAACAGGAAAACAAGGCATAATGAACAGCATGTCAATAGAAAGAAAAAAGACATGGGAAAATCATTTTTTACAACATTTCATAAGTTAACCAAACACATACAGACATTTGACATTTTTCCAAACATGTGCTCTAGGGTGGGAAGGTATCTCTCAAAGGGCCACATAAGGAACTGACTGTTGTTGAGGGACGGCTCTTTCCTGAAAACAACCTGTCCAATTATTTTTCATAAGGATTTGAAATTTTTTATTGTTTTATTATTTCTTGCAAAACAGAAGAACGTAGATCTCTGCTACTAAAGTACTCGGATCAATAATGCAGGGGATTTCCACACATTAATAATGTTAATTGGATATTATAGAGTCTATTGCACCATAATTACATTGATTACAGTTCTGATCCCCATATCAGCCCCATGACACTTAGTAAAGAATATGAGATGTTAAGGACCTCGATCAGTAACATAATAATAAGTATAATGTACTGGAAATTTGAAGGCTTTTTCTTCTAATCATTCTCCCTCTTCTAGAATGAACTCCTCCAATTATTGCTGACCCTCCTGTACCCTCAGGCCTTGTCCGGCTTTATGGAAAGACAGTCCAGTAGAGAAACTTAACTTGTTATAAATTTATGACCACATTGATAATCGAAGAAAAACTAAAGCATCCTTTTCCTTAAAGCATGCTGCGCTGTTTGCAGATTAAAGTACTATCGGAGGAAATTAGAGCCTCTGTCTCCACAAGGCTTTTCCTCTCCACAGCTGGGTGGCATCAAGGAGGGAAAACGGCAGAAACTGAGTTAATATTTCAGTAATAATCATGTTTGACATTCTCTTTGATTATCTGAAAGAGTCAGCAAAATCTGAATGCCAGGATTGCAGAAAATATATAACAACCTCAGGCCACAGTGAAATACATGAATCCATGCAAATCATGTATCTGCAGATACAGATGCAAAATATCACAACTAAGTTTATCCTTCAAAAGGGAAACACTTTTGGTTCTTTACCGCGCTGTAGTCCAACAAGGCTAATATCAGCCTGCAGTTGATATTAGCAGCTTTCTTTTTTTTTACTTTTGTTTTTATTTCACCCTAAGGACCCAGAGGGGAACTAAACTGATTCAAACACAAAACAAAACTTTTAGTGATGGGCTGCAGAGGAATGATTACTGTTGCCTCCCAAAGAAGAACAGACTGATTCGTTTTTTCCAGGTGCAGGCGCCATCTCCATTTTGTCTTTCTCTGCTTAACATCTGTTCATCTGGAACAAACTGACTTCAAACCACTCTCTTCTGAATGCACAGGGAACAGCAGGGCTAAAAATCCTCAGAATGCTAAGCAACCATTTAGAAAATAATACCAATTTCAGAACAATCCCTTTATTACCTCCCATCTATCAGGGGGGAGACACTACAGAGACAGGAGGAGCACAAGGGAGAGAGAGCTCTTCTTCAGGGGAATCCCTTCACAAGAAGAAAATGAGACATGCACCAGAATATCTCCCATCACTCTGATCATTTGCAGATGAAAGGAAAATACACTGAGGGGTCAGAACTAAAGATGGGGCCTCTAGTGACTTACCTGAATAAGTTGAAATTAAAGCCAGAAAAGATGTCACAAACAATAAGATTGTAATAATGCAATCTGTTATGATGGGATTTATTTAAATTCATTTCAATCTCTGCTAAATATCCACAGCTGTCTCTTTTTTTTTGCTGTTTATGATATAGAGAGATAAGGATATATGCATAATATGTTATTTATATGGTACATTTGATGACAGATCCCAACCACCCAGACAATGCAGGGGAACGATTCAACTAAGGAAGTCTTTCCTAAAAGTTTGAAGGTTTTCTGTCCCCCTGGAGGCAGACACTGAACACCTCAGCTGAAAATTGAATAAACCATCAGCCCATTTCATCGGCTCTTTCAGCAGTAACTGTATTTTATCTAAATATTGTACTACATTTCATGTAAATATTATGTTCTCAAATGTTACGTCTCCTCCATAGATGCTCATTTCCCATCTTTCTATCAATGCTTTATAACTAATGTCTGTGTCTCAGGAAGGTTTTATTATGGTGATATAATGCCAATAAAGAACATTCTGGATTCCTAAGGAGAAAAAAAGCAAAAATACACCAAATGTAACCCAAATAACACACAATACAAGGCAAAATACCAATTTAAAGGAGAATTCCGGTTTTTAACACTTTTAGCCCATTTTCTGTAGTGTCCAGGATGAAATCGAATGATCGACACCAAAATTTTGACAATTGGTCCTGTCTCTGCTTTTTGGCTCATTTAGAATCCACCCCTGGCTGCTTCAGAATGGCTTCCATAGTGCATGTCCGATAACGTCCTTAAAACAACCTTAAACGTTCTTTTTTTAAAATATGCTACTCACAGGGTCGTCAGCGCTGTTCAATGACGTTCCAAAAAAAGTTTCGTGAAGAAAAAACGTTCCTGTAGTGTTTTATTTAGCATTTTGTAAATCCCATTGAGTTCTGTTGGAATAGTCAATATTCCTCCGCCACCGGAAACGGAAATGGGGCCTGTTTACACAGTTGTAGTCTTTTCGCTTCACTCTGTGTACTCCGACGTCGAGAATCAAGAATCCACCTTTCGTATTCCATTTTCAGAGTTTTTTAAAGTGTTTAACAGAGACGTTAGCACCTCGACGTCGGAGTACACAGAGTGAAGCAAAAAGACTACAACTGTGTAAACAGGCCCCATTTCCGTTTCCGGTGGCAGGGGAATATTGACTATTCCAACAGAACTCAATGGGATTTACAAAATGCTAAATAAAACACTACAGGAACGTTTTTTCTTTACGAAACTTTTTTTGGAACGTCATTGAACAGCGCTGACGACCCGGTGAGTAGCATATTTAAAAAAAAGAACGTTTAAGGTTGTTTTAAGGACATTATCGGACATGCTCTATGGAAGCCATTCTAAAGCAGCCAGGGGGTGATTCTAAATGAGCCAAAAAGCAGAGACAGGACCAATTGTCAAAATTTTGGTGTCGATCATTCGATTTCATCCTGGACACTACAGAAAATGGGCTAAAAGTGTTAAAAACCGGAATTCTCCTTTAATATCCAATCCACAGATCATATCTTTAAGGGTTTCAAAAAAAAGGGGGCTAAAACAGAAAAGAATCTTTATTTTTCAGTCTTGATCTAAAGACAGATAACAGTTCCTAATTAGGGTCTTGGATGGTAAATTATCATAGATCATATATATATGAAGGGGCATAACCAAGCAGAGCGATCAGTAAAGGTGTTATTTGGGGTTACACCTTAAAAAGCAGACACAGCAGAAAAGTCTTAAGTTTAATTTGAGCAGAAAGCAAATCTAGCTGCTTAACAGTGTTACAGAGCATCAATAAGAATATGTTCCTTATATGATCAAGTAAGAAAGAATAAATAGAAATCCTTCATTTTCCAAGTTTGAAACTAATCAAACTATCCTAGACTTTGATAAACACTGGAGTTTAAGGGATTACTAAAGAAAAAAGAAAATCTCAAAGGGTGACATAATGGATACTAATAAAGCATATCTAAAATCGGACCAAGAACAAAAACCCCATGGAGCACCATCATGTTTATAATTTAAAAGTGATTATATCTAGAGGTGTCCTTCCATTGAGCTCAGCGGATGAGAAACGACCCACTAATCAGTAGCTCGTGGCATCATCATCTGGGTTCATCTAATTTGATAAAAAAGCATAATAACTTTAGCTTATTTCAACTTATTTCAAAAAATAATGTTGCTAAATGACCCGAGCGGAGACAGAACCTGTAGAAGTAGAAAAAGTTGTCTGGTTTGAGAGGCATTAAAAGAGAAAATAGCCAGACTAACCACATTCAAAATCTGAAACTTGCTTTTTTGACCCATTTAGATGTTGTTTCATTTTCTTTTTATAAATCCCTGTAGTGGGACAAGGGTCGGTCTATAGAGGATGAGTAGTATACAAATGGAAATGTAAACCTGTGTCTCCATGCAGAACTTTTTAAATCCAAACTATGACCTCAAACTGCATCCTGTCCTCAACAGGAAGTCAGCTTATAAGGATCAGTGTAGATGTTACACAAGCGCTTTAGTGATGTAATCTAATGTTTACTAGCTGCTCTTAAGACAAAGTAAGGCTGTGGGTTATCTAGAGAGGTTTTACCATGGAGTCAAACATGCAAAGGAGGGTGATGCATAGTTACAATTAAGCACTCGAGCTAAAATAACATATCCCCTTGATCAACTGGAGACCATTCTAAGATTAATTGGTATATCTGATGTTCCTTAAGACTAATACATATGAGTTTTAAATTAATAAAGAGTTGAATATCATCAGCATAGCAGTGAGAGAGCAAATAAATAACAATTAAAAGCTAATAAGCACAAAGTATCCTAAGACTATCCATGGTTAAAGGTTAAAATATTGCAACAGAGATGCTTCAACATTTTAAGAGTTTAAGATAAATCCAGAGTCATAGAGGCCGAGGTTTTTTCTACATAAAATGCATAACAAAGTATTCTGAGAAGTACAGTGCAACAAGTACAGTGGATTTAAAGAAAAACAAGACTTCTATCAATAGCATCTACAAATGTAGTTTAAATCATATCCACAAATCGGGTAAAATAAAGTGAAATCTTTTTTTCTCTGGTAACTATAATGTCTTACCAGTTAAAGCCGTAGGGAAGATTTTAGAGAGAATGACAAAAGCACAAAGTTCAAGCTGAAACTATGTTTAAATCTTGCCACTTTGAGTCGTTATCCGTGCAGCTGATAAGCAGCAGGATGCAGTCCAGGGAGGGCCTGCTAGAGAGATAAAGACCTTGTGCTTTGTCGTCCATCTAACTGTCCCCCGTGGTGTTGTGATAACAATGTTTAGGCAGGCAAAGTTTTATTTTTTTCCTTTGTAACAAGCTCTCCTCCCATCTATGTCTGCAGTTCCAGAGCTGCCACTATTCATGTCCAGGCAATGCATTTCATTTCTTAGAACGGCAAAGCCGTCTGTGCATGATTAACCACACCACCTAACGCTGCTTTAGATCCAAAATGGATTATGCATTGCTTCACCTGTTTGGCTGTACAAAGCAACGGGAAAAGAACAAGCAAGCAAGAGCCTTAAATTATACAAGCAGCATCTGTCTGCCCTTCTGTCAGTCTTTTGTGATTTTGTGCAGCATCAAAGGTCAGAGTAAAGATAGAAGCCAATGGCACAAAGAGCCTCCCTTTCAGCAAACATGAAATGCAGAGATAAAAGAGGGCAGATTCACACACTCCTTCCCTGACTTTCCCGTCTTCTGTTAGCAGTTCTTCGGATCCTCACTGAATAAATAGAGGTCCATGAAAAGGTTTAAGAAAAGCATCCTCTTCATTGTATCACATTAGTTTTGCTCATGTTTTCCCATCCTTCTACTTATGAATGAGATGTGAAGGAAAGAGAAAAAGGGAATTTGGAATAAATAAATGCCTAAAATGCCTTCGTGAGTTTGAGGAAAAATGTCTCTAGTCCATCAATACCAAGCCACAGCTTGTGATCAATTGTCTATATGCTTTTGGTAAAGGTAAGTGCTGCAGCAAGCTGTCAGTAATGGCAACCAGACAAATAATTTTAACTTTGGGCAGAATTAGACAGCAGCTGGTGGATCCGTCTAAATGCAACCCTCGGCATATGCACAGATCATTCCCAATCCCCTCATACATTTTTAATAGAATCTATTACTTCTGGATTAACCGATAAGAGCTGGCCTGGTTAAATTCTCTAATAGTTTATATAATTGGAATCAGAACGGCACATGAGAAAGACCCACATTTTCCTCTGGTCCTCTTTGTTACGCAGGCAAAACACAGAACACAAGGGCTCCCATACCGGATAACCAAACAATCTGCGGGTCACTCGGCTGAATGCTCCAGGCCTGCAGCTCCCAACGATGAGCCTCATTAGCATCAAGATTAGCTCTTGTGAAAGGTACAGCATTATAAAGGCTTTCCTTTACATTTTTAATGCAAGAGCAAAATGTATGTGGCTTATCTCTGGGCAATATACTGACAGATGTCCAGAGCTTTCAATTAGATGTAAATCATGCAGCATTAATGGCTGACTGAGTGCAAGACAGACACATTTACATTACAGACTCTGTCATGCAAAGACACAGCTGTGATGAAACGAAGCAAATGATTCACCCTTAATCACAGCACAAATACTCCACTGACAACCTTTAATTGGCTCTATACTATCCAACTAATGCAAAAACATTAGTTTGATGGTAAAAGCTATGATATAACGGCAAAGTTCCTGCAGTCTCTCTGCACAAGGGTGTAAGGCCTGCTTAAAATTTTAAAACTCTGTTGAAAGTACAATATAAACAGTAGCTTCCCTTAAAAAGACCAAGGCTATTCCTTTTTTAATCGGCCCCCCCCTCCCTGAGTGTTTAAATCAGCTTAGCAGGCATCAACTTTGTGGTGCACATCATTAGGCCACATTTTTTAAATAGTTTCTAAATGATGAGGTGGTTGCTCTGTCAGCTAAAGGTATGTTTTAAAGTTTCTATACTCCAGTTAAGATTAATCATAATTAATCAGATTAATTCTTTCAGCTCTAATATTTTCACTTATAAACATACACACCTATTAGCCCCTCTGATATTAACAAAAGTGCTCTGTTATTCGCCTCATTTTGAGGAGCGGATAGGACAGAATTGGGTGTCTATTTTTAAAAGTTATGTCTCCGGGAAACAAGAGGTTGTGGATTATTAATAGGAAATCCCGTGACACTCACCCAGAAAAGTAGAGAAATAGAGATTATTACTGGAGGTGAGGGTTCATTATTAAAAAAATAAATCAATTATCTTATAAACCGCATCTAAATGTGAACGTTTTCTCTAAGCATATGGCCCTGTACCATCCTTACAAAAAAAAGAAAAGTTGTAATAAAAATATGAGAACAAATGAGGCCGAGAACAAGAGAGGCTTTGAATCCAAAGCTGCAAAATTGAGCCTTATCTTGGAGAGCAGCCCTCGGGTGGAAAGCCTTGGACTGACTTAAATCTGCCCTCACTCACCGCCAGTGCCAAGGTAGAAGAAACACACTGCGTGAGGTAAAGTCTGGCCAATGCCAAGGTAGCATTAGAGGGTAAACATAGCCTTATCTTATCCCTAGCCCAGTATACACACTGAGACACACTGTTAAAGAGCAAAGAGGTATGCAGCCAAACCTTTTGAAAACCTTGCCTCATGCTGACAGCTGATCCGAATGAGGGGGGTGGATAAGTTCTTTTTTGGAGCAAACAAATGAAACTTAAAATGTCTGCTCTACATGTATCACAGAGAAAAGGAAATCTCTGCTCATACCCCTCACACTTTCTCATGATTTTATGTTAGACCTTCACACAAAGTTTTGCATAGTTGGAAGAAAATAATCAAAGTTTTTAGCATTATCTGAAAAAAATTAGTATTAAATCTCTCAGAGAAAATATGTTTTAAGACCTAATTTCATTTTCTTCAAATCAGTAATTATTTCAGGGATATTTCTCCACTCCTTTGCTCCTCAAAAAAGTAAACAGCCCTGGATGGAGCGGATGCAGAACCACTACCACTTTTCAAGTCTTACCACAGATTCGCTGTTGTGTCCGACTGGACCATCTTTTAAAAGGAACACGCTTCGATTTCAGACAGCTTCCTGTGGACCACATTTAGGGCCATCACCCTGCTGAAAAGTGAACCTCAAGCTTATTCTCAAGAATTTTACAACCTTCAACATCTTCCACAGCTTCTTAATGTTTGGGATATTGTTCAACAACAGCCCCTGGAAATTCCTGCTGTGTCCTCATGAAGAGGATGCTTCATTAATGTTCTCTTACCAGCTTCTGAAGCCTTCAAAGAACAGCTGTATTTATACTGGGATTAAATTACGCCCTCTGTTTGCCAACAACTGAAGGCATGCGGTCACACCGGATTTTATTTAGTGGAACCAGTTAAGTGGGCTTAAAGACAAATAATGAAGAAAAAATGAGACATTTATGTTTTTTTTCTGTTGTTTTAACAATAACGGTTTACTTTATGTTGATCTATGCACTCTGATTTGTGGTTTTAATGCAACAAAAGTCTTTTGCTACATGGGGTATGAACACTTTCCACAGCTCGTTGGATGACCTGTTAAAAGCTGTAGAGAAAGTGCTGCCTGCATGGCTTTACTGTGGAGCAGAACCTAAAGATAAGCTTTCAAGCGTACAGTAGGCGCATCAACAAGAAAAGTGGCTTTGATCTCTGAACCAAATTACGATGTCGTCATGCCCCTGCTTTTCCTCTCAGAACAAATGATGATGCATCCACTGCAATTTGGCAGCAGGATAATCATTAATTTAAAGCAATTACGGGGGAGAGAAGCTTGAAGGCAAAATAATATTAATGACCTTAGATGTTCTGTCCCTTCCTCAGCGAGCAGGGAGCCCCCAGTCTTTAACCCCTGCACCCAGAACCCCCCTCCCCGTCTCATAGCCCGTCATCCTGTTATTAAAGCAAGGAGCAATTAGACCGATTTCAGAAGATGGCAGGGCACTGGTAATTACACATGACAGCCTCTAGCAGATAAAAAGGTGATTAGGAGAAACTGTTCAGCAGGCTGCAGACTTGACATTATCCCACAAGATGGAAGCAAACGTGACTGCCTGTATGTGTAATTTCTTCCTCTTATCGGCCAGTTTTCCCCCCATTTATAAAGTGGTGCGAGTTGTTGCAAGAAATGACACTGTACACTTAACAGACCCCTGGAAATGAGGTAATAGATGCCCGTCTTTAATTAGAGCACCCCACCCTTGCCTGGATGATGATCTTCCTAGAAAAAGGTCACTCTCAGCAAGCGGTTCCCTCCTTTGAGTTATTTGTAACACTTGGGGAAACTTCACAATAAATTGGAGCTTATGCTCCCGAGGAAGCAAACATAACCCCCCTCTATTTTTTTTTCCTTCCTATCTGTTCAAAGTTAGAATTCCATCCCGAATGCGATAGGGGAATCAGTGGGATACCCCTATGGGGGACACCTGCAAGCTTATAGGGGAATAAAGAAAAATATGTAAAGTTTTAACATCATAAAGCTAAATTCAAGTTAAAATAGGAGCTAAGTTTGAAAGAAAGAAAGAAAAAGCAGATACAAATGGAAATACGCACCACATTTTTCATCATGACACCAAGAAAAAAAGATGAAGGGGAGATAATAAAACACCAAAATTGCAGGATTTTTCTTCCCTGCCTCTGGTGGTGTGCTCTGACACTCCATCTCTCTGAGTAATAAAGGATCAAGCAAAGGAGGCAGGAAACACACACACACACACACACACATAGGCTTGAATTTCACACCTTGCCAATAATCTGCAGGAACCTCTGCTGAGGCTAACCTTCAACCCCGGCTGCCACGGGTGCACTGAGGTGCGATGATCCCACCTCCGGCTGGTAGACAATGGAGGCAGAAACCCTCAGAGGCAGCCCTGAGTGACTGATAATATACTTCAAAGCATTGCCACTGAGATGCTGACAAATAAAGCGTCTTCCTGTGCAAGAAAAGCCATCAGTCAGCTCATATGGGAAGATGGATAAGGGGAATAAAGAAATAAATTACACATATACCCAACAGTGGCGCACGATAATTAGATACGTTGAAGGAAAAATGTATGTTTGACAGATTGCGCGCAATTATTTCAATTGTTGAATAGAACTTTATGAAAAAAAATTAAATTATTACACATTAAGATTCTAATTTTTCCTTTTTAAGGAAAGCTCTCATTTTTCCACCTTTGCTGCAGAATAAAGGAACCTTTATATTATAAATCATCCAAAACTAATCTAGAAGCGTTAACATTATAAGGTAAATGTAAAGGTATAGTTTCTTACAGAGTTTGCTTTATCATAAGGCTTGTTTATCTTTGATTCGCCTCGGCTGATTGGCTCCTGTCCTCCTCTGAAGGCGTTCTTCCTCCGCCGCTGGTTTGAGCGCTTGTAACCTCGGGGGAAAAATCCATGGAAGAAGTCGCTTCCATCAGCTGTACTTCCTCGACGCTTGTTACTAATAAAGAATATTTATGAAAATTTCAATTGTTGGTTTTTGGGGTTCCTTTTTTCTTTCTCTCGCAGCCACTTGTGTTTCATCGCAGCGTGGCGGTGGGACGGAGAGCTGCTGCCGACTGGAGAAGCAGGACCGGTCCTGCGCGCAGCTGGAACCGGCTGCGGGCGAATCAATCAGGACTGGATTAGAATATTCCCACGCATCGACCAATGGTAAGAGAGGGGAGGCGGGGCTTAAAGTGACATTGAAGAGAAAACGCTGTCCTACGTTCAATAGAGATTTTTTGTTGTTGTTGTAATTGCCGTTGTTTATTGATATGATCTTGTAATTAACATGCAAGTATCTTGCTTGGTCTGGATAATATGTTTATATTACTATATAATATATATATATATGTATATATACTACTGTTTTTTCAAAGCTGCACTTTAAAAAAATGTGAAATTGTCCATAGAGCTGTTTCAAACGAAATTTCTTTTGGTTTTACACTTGTGTAAAAAAAAATGACAAATAAAATCTGTCTGAGTCTAAGTCTAATAACATTGCCCTTAATCAGCCCCAAATTAGATGAGTTCTGCAAGAACAAAAATAAACCAGCAATCTCATACACTAAAAAAATTAAATCAACCGTTTTTGGCATTTACTTAATCATATCTAGTTACTTAAACACAATTGTTTTATGTCCTACCTTGCTATCATGAAACATTTATGTTAAAGTAAGTAATTATGATTGGGTATATACCTAACATGGTTACATAAATTTTTTCAGTAAAAAAAAAAAAAAAAGAAAATATTTTGATATACAGTGTGTATAAAAGTAGGACTTTTATACAGGGTGTGTGGTACATGGGTGGTAATATATATGGATATTTATTTTTTATAGTGATAGTTAGCTGCTCAGTGGAGCCCTGGCTAGCACGGCTGCTTGGCTGCAAGAATTTTTGATTCCCGGCCCGGTCTTTCTGCATTGAGTTTGCATGTTCTCCCTCAGCATCCGTGGGCTCTCTCTGGGTACTCCGGCTTTCTCCCACAGTCCAAAAACATGACTGTTTGGCTAATTGGCCTCTCTAAATTCTCCTTAGCTGTGAGTTTGTGCATGAATGGTTGTTTGTCCTGTTTGTCTCTGTGTTGTCCTGCGATAGTCTGGCGATCTGTCCAGGGTGTACCCCGCCTCTCGCCCGTAGACAGCTGGAGATAGGCACCAGCACCCCTCATGACCCCGCTTGGGATAATCGTGACAGAAAATGGATGGATGGATGGATAGATATATAGTTACTGCACTGGGTGTCAAATGTAGACAAACAGGTTATCGCACAGGGTATCAAATAGTAATCGCACATCGTACATTGCAAAAGTTATTGCCATTGTAGTGTTGCATTGTAGCAGGGATAAATGACCTTCGGTAGCGCTTCTTTTTACAAACAGGGTGAAAAAGTCTTCCACCAAACGAGCTGCTCAGCTGCTCTATGGTCTGGTGCAGAGGGTAGAATGTGTTGTCCATGATGGATGTAAGATACATCCATATAATACTGTAAAATACAGAAACAATACAGGATTTACCAACTCCAAAGATAAATACCTTTATTATGTCTTTTTTTATTGATGGTATTATGTTGTTTTCTCCTCTTTGATAGATGGGGACTAGTCTCTTAGAGAGAAAATTTTTATACTTATAATGAAAATATGTTAACAAACATGACAAAGGCAGGACAGGTGCACCACTATGATGCTTCTGAAAATGGTCTTTAATAACTCTGCAGCAGCTTCTATATTTATCTTACCATTTTTGCCATTATATTCCTATTAAAATGCATTTTTTTAACACTGCTAGGCTGTACGGCTTACATTCTTGTACAGTATGGTCTTACTAAACAAACTGTTTTACAACACCATGTGGATTTATAGAATTTCCCTACCTTTTACCTTTCTTAAAATACAGCATGAATATAAAAAAGCAGTTTTTAAATGATGATTTAAATTATAAAGAGATATAACAATGAAAACAGCCTAAGCCTATGTAGAAACTAAAGTCGCAGTTCTTAATTTCAGACTTTGTTACCAAATCTTTTGTTCAACTTCAAATATATGCAAAGAGCCCATTGACAACTCATCCATAAGGTAGTAAAAAAGCACAGAAAAGAAATGTAGAGCTCTGAAAAGGCTCACTTGGTCCAACTGAGGTAAATGTTCACTATTCAACAACAAGAAAAAAGACATCCAAGAGAGAGCTTGAGGGTGAATATGTGCAGCTGAATGGTTGGGTGCTGCTTTGCTTTACTTGCTGCAAGTAAAGGAACCATTAATTTAGCTCTTTACCAGAAAATGCTGAAGGAGCATGCCCAGCCATCAGTCTGTGCCCTCAAGCAGACCTGGGTCATACAGCAGAACAGTGATCTAAAGCATACCAACTAGTAACAACAGGCAATTCTTACAAAAAAAACAACAAAAAACAAATAAATACCTTTCCAATGGGGATGAATTTGAACAAATCTTTACAGAACAGAGAGGTTAGGACAGATATAAAGCTTAAGGGGCATTGAAGTTTCACAAAGGGTTGGGTCAGTTTGGCAGTTTGGTTAGCTTTAAATTGCTTCATTTGGTTTTGAGAAAGAGGAAATCCGTGAGGAGGCAATTTCATTTTTCAAACTGCTGTGAAATTACACACATTGGGAATAAACTGGTGTAAGCATTATTATACAACATATCCTATTTTATCATTTTACAAACTTAAGCCACACATTACAAATTATCCTCAGAGGGATACTTTATCAGCAGCCAAACATGACACTGAAACACGACGAACATTTACTATCCAGATAACCTCAATGGTGTGATTACTTACATCTAGAAAAACACACAAATGTTTATTTCCCTGTATTTATTTATTCTATACCAGATTATCAATGTAGGGTTAGTGGGGCACTGGAGCCATTCTCATACAGTCATTGGGTGAAAGGTGAAGAGCACTAGGGACACATGATTAGCCTATCAAATTGGACGACAGAGACAAACAGCAAAAATAAAGATACATTCCATGCACATCTATTCATGACATATGCAGACATATTTAGATATGCTTGGTTTAAAAGTGGAGTATCCTGATTGAGCACATGCACAGGGTGAACATGCAAATTTCAGACAGAAGGATCCCAGGCTGAGATTTAAACCCATGACCTTCCTGCCATAAGAATAGATGCACTAAACACTTGTTAACTATCCATGTATCACTCTATAGCTTAGCAGGTAGAAAACATCAGTGAGCCTATGGGCAAAACTTTTAAATTGCAAATGTATTGTATGCACCTAAATACTGTTATATAGCGCTTCTTGTTTTTGTCCAACTCACAGATCGATTGATTTACTTTATTTATCTCACGGTGGAGAAATGTACTTGTTACATCAGCTCAAGTAGTTAAAAAAGGGAAGAAGAAGAAGGTGCCAAAGGAAGAAAAATGGTGCATCTCGTGCCTTGGTTTTATTCTACTAAAGAATAGAAATTTTTATAAAGAATAATTCACTGTTTTTCTGAAGCACAAGAAGACAATGAAACACTTGTTTTTTTTTTTTTGTTTTTTTTTAGCAGGCTGACTGTTTACCACTCTCTGCTTCAAGCTATAAGAGTAAGCAGATGCACCTGCCTCTCTCCTAATCCTCCTCATTCCTCGCAGCTGTTATCATATCTATTAATAGCTGCCTCTCTCTGTCAGTCTTCTCCAGATTGCCTCCTCCAAACCTGTATGAGAAACGCTCCAGTGTCAGTGTGCGTTACCTGCCTTTTTGTGTTTCTCTGTCCTGCATGTCCTCTTTGGCTTCTGACTCTGGTGACGCCCTGGACTGTTTCTGCCTCTCACCAATTTGTTCAACCTGTTTCCGGTCTGCCCAAAGTTCGTTTCAGTCTCCCTCCACATGCTCAAAGCCTCCCTCTAAGCAGTTAGCCATTATCCGTCTACTCAAAGCTCCCTATCAGTCTGTCTGCCTGCATTCCTGATTACCATCATCATATATTTAAAATAAACGTTTCAAATGCAATACTGGCTGGCTGAATATTGGGTTCTCTGAAGTTTTTTTCATAACAGTTGCCAAAATAACCATGCAGTAAATATAGTGGTACCACTAAAGCATAATATGTCTGCATTTCACATGGGTTATTATATCCATTCTTAATCTCCAGGTATGTAAATTAGCTTATATAATGGGCTTTTCCATGTGGATAAATATGGCCTAGTCATAAAACCTAAACGGATAAAAGAATGACAGAATTCCAGTTTGATGCTTTAGCTTTAGGGACTTGATTTTGTTCATGGCTGGTATATGTCGACTCAATGTTACGGTCTCCTGTCTCACTGCAACGCGTGATTATAATGGAGTCATTAATGTCATTAGCCGCTACTGGGCCATTATGATAAGTCGAAGCGTTGTAACTGTTTCTCCATGAGTCAAGTGCAGCTCCATCTCCTCTGAAAGAAAAAGGCCAATATTTCTGAGTTGGATGCTTTGCCTTTTATTGCTTGGTAGAGAGATTAATGCATCAGGAACATGGGTAGACATGCTGCTCTTTTGACAGCTGTTAAGAAAAAGTGGTTACCAGTTTTAATACAATTGGTTTTCTAGACCAGCTATCAGAAAAGCAAGATATGTGTCATTTCTTCAATTTCCTTGATGACATGTTATTTCATTTTACATAGGCTAGTTGATTTAAAAAGAGCTGAAGCAGCTTGTAACATGGTTGAAATTCCATTATCAACAAGAAAAAGGCTTTTTTTCACAGATTCCTGAAAACAGGTACATTTATGTTCCATAACTTTTCAGCATTCTTTAATCAAAAGAAAAAATGTTTGCCCATGCCACAAATCTAATTCTCTGCACTTGGCGGATGAATGTATTTTCCCAAAGAGGTAGGAAATGTATAAATGCAACCATACTAGGTACAAATCAAATCCTTCAAAAACGACAGTTTGTCATCTTCAAAGAAAAGACGGCTGAAAACAGTCCAAAGGACTGAGATTTACTGCAGACAGACTCTGACCCGCTGTTGCCGAGGAATACTGAACTGTCTCTTGACAGCTCCCCGAGTGTCATTTTTCAGTATGAATGAGGTCTGCAGATGGCAAGTATGGTTACCATGCCAACTGATGTTCTCACATCGACATATTGAATGGGGAAGATGAAGATGGGGGATAACTCTCAAATTAATTTCAAGTTGTTAAATTGCAAATAAAAGGAGTCCATTCTTACCGTGGGTTAAAGGAGCAAGCATGAGACTAATGTTCTAGCACCTACAGTACTTACATAATTCTCATTTGTAAATTCTCCAATATTTGGGAAGTCTTTTGACTTTTTAAGTTAAAAATCTGGTTTAAGGATGTGTCTCCAAATACCAAAGAATTCACAGGTTAAAATTAGTGAAAAAAGATCTTGCCTCTATGTTGCTAGCCTTTGTCAAGCTGATGTCATCATGCCCTTGCAGATGGGCAAACTCTCCCTCTTTAGATCCTCTTCATCTGAGAGGAATGAACCTACAAGTGATCTAAATTAAGAGCTCCACCTGCAGCTGTCAAGAAGAGGCAAAATACCCAAATAAAGTTTGGACAAAGTCCCCACTTCCACCTATTGGCAGTGGCAGCTGTCATCTCCATCATAATGAAATTAAGAGGGTGTAGGGGTTACTAAATACCATCAGTGGTCCTGAGGGGAAACCTAATAACTCTTTTTAATAAGCCAACGATAGACCATATTGCTTAAATATCCACATAACTTGAAGCATGGCAGCTCTGTCCTGGGATGCCCCCTGGATGTTGGGGGTCAGAGGGACTTTAGTAAAAAATAACATCACTATTTCACAGGGTCTCTTATCCCATATTGTGGAACTGGAGAACTTCTTCAGTTAAAGACTACTACATCCTAGATGCTCTAGGGAATATTATCTTTATTCCTTGCCATTTTGGGTTTGCCATTTTCAAGAACTGCACTTTTTTTTTTCTTCTGTTGTGGACTTTTTTCCATACTTGCTGGCGATACGCATTGAATTCTCACAGTGGAAGAATGAGTGAGTACTCTGTTCTGAATGACACAGATTTGAATATAGTCATATCTCACACATGAATGGCAAATAGAGCAATACATTTATTTAAAAAAATGACCTCACTCAAAGAAGTTAGCAATAAGCAAAGGCCAAAAATACACAAAGGTTTCTAATGGAGTATCTGTTCTAAATTGGCCTTTTCTTCCGCTTGAAAATAGTTTTAATGGTAGAAGGCTTCCCTCTGCAGGCAAAAGAATAAACTCCAGTTGCATCATGAAGCATTCATGAAACATTTTCAAAATTTGAGTGCAAGTTGTACCGACTTGCTGTGGTGACCCCTGAATAGGCATTTGTATAACTGCAAAGAGGAAAAAAAATTGTGCTTAAACAATTTCTGAAAAAGCAAATGCTTTTGACTGTTATAATCATATACATTACAGTTAAAGCTAAAACTTTTATATTGGGATTTAATTTTGATTTTAGCAATATGTTTTGGTACATTATCCACCAGAATACAATAACTTATATAGACGTAAAACATGTATAATAATATATGTAATATATAGCAATATACTGGTAAAAAGATCCCAAACACACTTTTCTTAACAGTAGCTTTTTTCAACCATCTAACTGAGAGTTTTAGAAAACAAGTGTCTCTGATTGAAGCTGACATCAAATTATTGCTCTGCATCTTGGAGTCTCTTTAGGTTTTGATATTTATAGAGAACATATGGATTTAACCATAGGGTGTCCTAGGCAGCGGCCTTTTACTACCCAGGTAATGAAGACATAGTAATAATTGATCAAATAAAATTCTAATGATGGAGCAGACATAGTGAATGATAGGTTCCATTTAATGGTTTTCTTTACAGTTCTGTTTTAATTATGGTTTACAAGTGATGGTAATAGCGTCAGTCATATTAAGAGACTTTTCATCTTCTAAATGTTATTTTAAACCAATAAAAATGATTTGTTGTAGCTGAATGTATCTGCTTTTCTTAAGTTCTAATTCAGATTTGATTAAAACTGATCATTTAAAAGAAGTCAAATACATGTGTTATATTGCATCAATTATGAATGTACATTGATATAATATTCCAAAGAAAAGCTTTATCATATATTTTAATAGATATTTATTCAGCAGCATATCACTACAGTAACCCTCTGTAAGGGATTTTTTTTTTATTTACATAAAGTAAAAATTAAAAATTTTCAGCCAAAAATTCAAGCTTTCATTTGGAAAAACATACAATTTTATTTGAATGACATAAAAAATTAAAGCTCACTCAATTTGAGCCACAAGTAGCTCCTAGTTCTGCGGCTCAGTTGATTTATTTTAAATGATAAACTATTGCCCTGTTTATTGTTTTGTTTTTCTGCAATCCACTGGCTCTAGAATCGCCAATGGATTGGTTTATATCTTCTCTGAAGACAACAAACAGTTGATTTTATGTTCAATCCATACGATGTGGTCTAACATTCTTTTTTCTTCTTGTTGAAAATTTTTATGGCGGTTGGCAAAAATATTAGGTGAGCATTACCGCCACCAACTGATAATGGGTGTGGAGATTGGGAAACCTTCGTGAATGAATGAAGCGGAACTTATCTTTTGGTTCCCCCGCCTCCTCCGGTTGTTTTTTTTTCACAAGGACTGGGCTACATCCGGTTAGGTTTCCACGGTAACGGATATTAGCTTCCTTCTAGAGGATCATGGGAAGCAATCCTGCTTTTGAAGCGGAGGGATTTTCGAAACATTTCTGAAATATCTTCGTTATATAATGTAATAAAACCGCAACGTTAAAACACTAACCATCGTCTCATTAGTATAACCGGTGAGTAAAACCGCTTTAGTTAAAAATGTCAGGGTGTTTGGTAGTAAAAAATTAGCCAACACAGAGCACTAACATATCAGGCTAGGTAGCTAACGGTGAATGTTTTTTTCTGTTATATTTGGATTTTCCTTTTCAACGACGCAAACTTTAAATCTATTACCCATTTAGGAACACATTTAACACTTTTATGCTTTGTTTTCGGTCGATTTTTCAATGTTGGTTTACTATTCTTGGGTTTCAATTCTTCATTTTTTTAATAGTATAATCAGAAGGAAGAGATGTTAAAAGATGGAGCTGAAGCTGGAGGTTGTTGTGTCATCTAGCATCAAACGGAAGAAACCATGGCCGCGATTCTGCTGGCTGGGGCAGGTGATGATGATTTCTGTTGAGAGAAAATAATAATAATAATAATTTAATCTGATTTAATACCCAGGCCTGTGACTTTACTCCTCAGGAAAAGGAGTCTGTTTTTCTGTTGGATGACAAACGGATCAGTGAGATCAACATGGTGTCTGGTCGCACCAAGAAAAAGATCCCTAAACTCCATCCTCTACTTAGCAGTGTGGTGAAAATGACTCCATCTCACAATGGTAGGCGTAATCTATTAAACACACACTAATCTGTCTAATTCGGATTATTCTTGAGTGTTGATTTCTATTTTTCCAGGGATGTGGCTGTGTGGAGTTTTGGTGTCTGGAGAGTTATTTTTGTGGAACAGGGATAAAGATTTACTGAAGACTGCAACAGCAGTGCCTGAAGTGATTCAGATGATCAACTCTGCTCAAGGTTTGTTCTGCATTTTAGCCAGAAAAATGTAACATTTCTGAAAACAATTGTTTGATCTTCATTGTCTAAAATTGAATGATATGTTGGTCTCATTTGTAGGCATTTGGGGGAAATGAATACGTCCCATTCCTTATATATTTCCATTTTTAAAAAAGATTGAGAAATTTGTTGTGTTTTCCTTCTACCTGTGGTTAAATTCAGCAGATAGATTATTTACCTAAGCAATGTTTTTGTAACGTCTGTCTTAAGTAAATTATCAGCACCATATTTTAGGTTGGTGTTTTAGTAATTTATATGTTTGTTTGTTTTTTAGGCATCTATATATTATACCAATCTTCTCGGTAATACAATTTAAGCTGCTTTTGATTTTGTTTTACAGGAAATTTTCTAAAGTTGTGCCTACAGGTTTCATGCGATGGGACGAGAGTGCTCCTGACTACGATAACTGGGCAGGTGTTCCTGTGGGAGTGCACAGAGAGGAAGGATTTTCCAGGCCTGCGGGATGGCCCTGTTAAAGGGCAGTGGACTAATTTATTGCCACTTAAAGAGACGATTTTGCCTTCTTCAAAAGATAAAGAAGCATCCCAGCAGACCATCTTTTTAAAAACAGAGGTCCGCGTTATGTATTAAATATCTTTATATCTTATTTCAGCCTATGATACAGCTTTGATGCCCACTCTTATTTTTAACTAGCCTTACATAATCTGTTTTGTTAACTTTCTGTCAGGTTATGATGGACATTTGCTTATCAGCATTTATTTTCATCTCTGGGAAGCAGCTTGTTGTCACCATTCTAAAAATTCAGTGGAGCCAAGGCAGTGTGAGGATGGGGTAAGTAAACTCTTTTATTACAACGGCACGGACCCTTTCCAAGTTTTTGTTTCTGTTTTGATTAGATGTACACCTTTTTCTTTGTAGTTCTGTTGGTTACACCATACAGTGGGCTTCCAAAACATACCCCATGTCTCATCTGTACCCACCCTGCCAGCCAGTAAAGTCCAGAGGAGCCTTAGTTCCAGCCTTTTCTCCTGATGGACGCCTGTTAGCCATTGTACTGAACCAGAGGAAGCCAAAGGTTAGAATCAGGACTTTCTAATTAATTTTTAACTTAAGGGTTGTTTCTCATTTGCATTAAAATTAAAAGCTCCAAAAAACATGCATTCTCTGTTTGTGAATGCAGGACACACAGGTCCTTTTTGTGAGCATGCAGAACTTTGTTTCAATATCAAGCGACCTGGGAGGATGTGGAAGCAAGAAAATGGATATCCCATCAAAATATGTTAGGTCTGTATGCACAATTATGTCGTAGAGATTTTTATTAAAAATGTAAGTACTTGAAACCACAATTTTGTCACAATCCATCAGACCAAGACCATTATTTTTCATTGTCTAAGTAAGTTTATGGAGTGTTTGTGTTTTTCCTAAACCTTTCAGGTCCTACTGGGTGAGTAGCATCAGCTGGTCAGCAGGAGGCCTTTTCCTTGCCTGTGTCTTAAAGAGGGGCTCCCTCCTGATGCTGGCTCGCCTTGGTGGGCTTCTCACCCTGACAAGTTCTGGTTGCAATGTTGATTTTGGTCCTGCGCACTTCCTGCCCCTCCATCCGCTGGTCACCTACAGGTGGACTTAAAATTTTAGCATTTTTGTTGTTAAATTATTCTACTTCTTTTAAAATGTATTTAAATGCAATAATAATTTTCAAATCATTAAAGAAAAAAACTTTAGCATAGTTCTTTGAGACCATAATGTTTACTGTTTGTGCAGTTGAAATCAAATTATACAGAGCTTTTAATATGAAGGTAGGGTCTGCAAATCTGTTTTTAAATGTAGAATAAATACATAAGGTTACTGATTTTTGCAATCCTTTTTTTCCCCCACATAATGACTTAAATTTGAAGAGATACACATATCCAACAAATGAATAATTTGCTAAATAAAAAAGAAAAACATGTTTGATATTGCTATAGTAATTTTTTTTTTATCTCATACATACCATTCAATACCAAATAAAGCATGGATGAATTATGATCCTATGCATAGTGTATGATGGCTTTGTTTTTCCCTATAGACCACCACTCTCTGGAGAGAATGGAGAGGCCTCTCTTTCCAGCTCCAGCTTGTCTCTACGTGATCTAATGAGGCAGCGGTTTTCTGTCACCTGGCACCCCCGACTGCTATATCTCATTGTGTCTGACGGCTACATGGCCACAGTTATGAAGGTGCAGGGCAGACTTTCAGCAGCACTCTTCCTGAATGCTCTTCTAAAAGAAGCTGGCAAGGATCTGGAAAAAGCAAGCAGCAAATTAGAAAAATCCCAGGTGACTCGCAGCAGATTGTCTTTAAGAGGTGGAATATTTTTTTAAAATATCCTTAAATTTTGCTAGCTTTAACTTTTTTTTTCTTTCTGTTTGTAGGTTCATGTGAAGGCTTGGCTGGAGTCTATGTCTTGCTTTAATTCAGACAGCAGCCTTGAGGAGCTCAGTCCGTCTGTCACATGTCGGCTTAAAGTGTCAGACTCCACCATTTTAGCGGCGACAGATCAAACCAGGCTGCCGCTGTTCCTGCAGGACCAGCAGACACTGGGTGGTACCAAGGAGCTCCTTGAAAGCATGCAGGTCTTACAAATAAAGCTTGACATCACCATTTTCATTTTTGAATCTATGTGGGAGTAATGGGAGAAGGTTCTGTGTTGATATGGATTATTTAATTAGCTGTATTAATTAGCTGTTTGTGTTGTTTTCTAGACTTTCTTTGAAGAGGACTCTGATTTGGAAGGACTTCCTGTTGGTTCTCGTGTGCAGGAAGGAGGCCGTTTAGAGTTTGCCTCAATGTTTGACACTCTCCATGCAATGGACACTTACAGTGAATCTGTTGTTGATACAAACAGCAAGAAGAGACAAACAGAAAAGAAGAACCCTCTTTATTCTGAGATGGGGAAGATTCAGAGGAAGCTGCTCACGGCTTGGGCTTTTGCCATGTCATTGGGGGATGAAGTTGAACACAGAGTTCATCTTCTGAAGCGTACGCTTTACTGTGTGGTTTGGTTTGCAGCTTTACTCCACCTGGCCCCCATACGAGCAAGGGATACCCCGGTTTCTACACGCTTGCTCCACCTCATTAAAGCTCTCCTGTCTTTCCTGTCCTGGGACAGCCTTTCCTCAGATGGACAGCACTGCTTGGGGCTAATGGTGGGGTTTACTGAAAGGATAGTGAGTCTTCTGTTCACCCCTCAGCCTGAAGGCCACCTGACTGAGAACTACCTTTTATCATCTCAAAGTTTATCCAGGATAATTCAAATCATGCACTTAGTCTCCGATTCTCTTGACTGCACTTACAGCTTAGAGCAGAAAACATATTGGTCTCCTGAGGAGTTTTCCTCTTCCCAGCCATATCTTTGGTCTTCAGATGTTTACCATGTACCCCTGCTGCAGGCTGTGAATAAAGACACACCTGCTTTTAAACATCAGCCGATACCTGTTCCTCGGCAACCTTCAAGCAGGTATGCACAGCTTATGATGTTGAGCTAGTTCTAGAAAACCAACTAATAGATTATGTCCGTTTTATATGTGCTTCTAAACCTGACAGCTGCGCTTCCATTTTCTTTATGGACAGATTGCTTGGAGTCTGGCAGCTAATTTATGATGTTACTCAGCGGTATGCAGAGGAACTGAAGAAGCTTAAAGGCTGCGACGGCATGGAGGAAGAGGAGCAAAAACTGTCTGCCATCACATCCCAGATCCAGACAGCTCTGCAGGCAACAGGAGAAAACCTGGAAGAGGGGCGTTTGCTGCTGGATTACCAAGGTCTGACCAAAGAAGATTTAAGTTTGATTTTAATTGAGTTTATGACCTTTGCACTATTTAAGTTAATTTTTTTGGGATATAGCCAGTTAACATGCTTATAGTAGTGCAGAAAGGTGAAGTGGAAGGAAAATAAAATGTTTTTAAATAATTTTACTTAGCCTTTCCTCGTACACCAGCAAAAACAGCTCAAGCTCAGTCAAACAGGATAAAAGCTGCCAGTAAGCATAAATTTTCAAATCTTTCAAAGTATAACATGAATATGGTATTTTCTTTTTTAAGTCATAGCATTGGCGCTATGACTCTGTCTTTATTTTTGATCTTCTGTCAGAAGAGTTCTGAAAGCCTCTTACAGGCTTTCTTCCAGGTTGAGGCTAGAAAATGGAAAGATACCAATAAAATATATTGAAATTTGTTCTTGTAACATGAAAAAAGCATGTGCAAGTTAAAAGGTATGAATACTTTTTCAAGGCTCCTTAGAATGTTTGTAAAATATACAAAACATATCTAGATTAGCATTAGGGCAAAATACAAGACTTATGTTTTGGATTTAAATATTGTTGTTAAGCCTTAAAAGACCCTTTTTTTCTTGTAGGCGAGGACCTTTTCCTTTGCGGTTTGTACGCACAAAGTACACAGATGTTACGATTACAAATCTGTGAGGAGGCAAACAAAGGTAAGCGCTACAGCTTCAGTTTTTTGCTTTAAACATTTTCTCTAAAGTTATCCTAAGATCAAAGTGACTGTCACCTGTCTCTCACTCAGGTGGGAAGCGCAGTGTGTTCCAGGAGACGCGGCTTTGTCTGGCGCTCCTATATAGTCTGTTATCCCAGTATCACCTGAGAGAAGGCCAGGAGTTGGGGGACCACATGGCTCAACTACTTCTGCTCAGAGCTGGAAACCAGACTGAAAGTTTGACTTGCAATTCAGGTCAGCCCTGGTTGGTTATTGGATTAGCTGATAAAATCAGCTTCTTTTCGACAAGACTTAGAATTAGGCAAAATTTGTATACGCTCTGGGCCGGATTTATCAAAGGTTTGCGTGTATTAAAACGTGAGCTATTTCACTGCGCACGCAAAAAAATGTACAAACTGATCTATCAACAGCGTGCTAAAAGGATTTGGTCTTTAAAACGTGCTAAATAGCGTCTCTTATCCATTTAGTACTTTTTCTGCAATGAATATTCAATATAGGGCGTTTACACGCAAAAGTGCGTCTTGTGGGAGGATAACATGTAAATATATTAATTTAGCACTCGCAAAGTGATTTATCAAACCTGAAAGCAATTTTGCTAACGGTATCTGACTCTATATTTAACACGTTTCAAAAGAAGGTGCAAATGGTCTGTATGCGTAATTGCGCACACATGGCAGCGGTTATTGTCGCAAGAAGGAGAAATCGAAATGAAGCAAGGAGACGCAGAGAACGCATTTTTTCACTCCGTGTGAATATTTTTGGAATGAACGAGGAAACGATCATCAAAACATATCGTTTATCCAGCATTGCCATTTTGGAGCTGTTGGGGGAACTCCGAATGGATTTGGAGCCAGGCACAAGGAGGACCCACGCAATACCAGATATCACGAAACTCCTTGCAACATTGCACTTTTTTGCATCTGGGATCTCCCAATCTCGTTTTTCAGAAGTGCTGTCCGACGTTCTAAATGCCATGTCGCCCTGACGCCCTACCGGAGAACCCCGACACCCTGCGCCTGTGGAGCAACATGCCAATGCAGTCATCTTATCCACAGTCACTTCTTGTGAGCCATTTGGTATGTGCATTTTTCTACAGGCCGATAAAAAACACCTGTTTTATTTTTGTTTGTGTATTTTTTTCTTACTGCGGTGAAGTAGAAATTCAGCCACATACCACCTTAGGGAATAAAGGTTGCCAAAGTTTATATATATATATATATATATATATATATATATATATATATATATATATATATATATATATATATATATATATATATATATATATATATATATATATATATATATATATATATTTCTTTTTTTGGAGGGGGTGGTGTCACTGTAAGATTAAAATTTCTTAATGCACTAGTTTGCACAAACTACAAACTACTTTGCCGCAAACCACAAAACGCGCAAAACCATCATTTAAATAGGGCGTCTCCAACAGTTTTGCGCCTGCCACCAGTTACGCAATCGCTCTTGTTAAATCACCCGCAAACCATGGTTCAGCCCCTCGCGCAAAATTCCACTTTGCGAGCGCAAATTACTGCACGCAAAATTGGATCTTGATAAATCCGGCCCTCTGTGTTTAAAAAAAGAAATTTTGATACATGCAGTTTTCCAACAGCAAATGAGCAGCAGCTTAGCAGTGAAATGAACATTTCCATTTATAAAGTGCATCAGTGATCAAAATGTAAACAGTGTAGGAGAGACATGTGTAAAAGGCATTGATGTGGAAAGTTCAGAGCAGTGCAAAAATAAATAAATAGATATGGTGCAAAATGCAGAAGCACTGAATTGAGTTCTATTTTGTAGATTCACAATGTAGTGTAAGTACAGGTTTTACAGTGTGATGCCAAGTCTCTATACGTGACTTGATTAGAATTTTCAACAGTTCAACAGTCTTATGGTAGCAGGGAAACAAACTATTACAGAACCTGCTGGTCCTGCATCATCATGTTAGTTTTTGATATAATTAAGAAAGGGGTCCTTATGATAGGGTAGTGGCGACCAAGTGATTAGGGCATTGTGCTTGGAATCCTGAGGTTCTGAGTTCAAGTCCCACTCCCACGGATTGCCACTTAACCTATACCCTTAACCCCACACTGCTCCCTGGATGCCACACAATGGCAGCCCATTGCTCCCCATGGGTCAAATGCAGCGAATTAATTTTGGTGCTCTGTACTTGTGAGTGTATTGACAATAAAAAACGCTGGGGAAAAAAAATAGTTTGATCATGATAAGTAGCTTTTGAGAAGCTACTTCCTTTTGGATTCTATACAAAGCAGGTTTTTAGTTATGTGTATGCTCTGTGGACTGGAGTTAGCTTTGCTGGTTATACTCAGACTACTGTGCACCAAAAAGTCTAAGTTACTTTTTTTTTTTCTTTCTTGTATTTTAACAGATCATCTTCCTTACCCATGGCTGCCCATGGATCTTCCCAGTGATGCCGCCCTTGCTGTAGTTCAGGCCCTCGGAAGATTCATGGCCTCTTACTTCACCAACCAGCCTCTCTTCATTCTGCCTGCTCACAATGTGTCCATCCTGCCTCCTCTGCACCTACCTCACGGTGTGTTTCTTAAAGCTACAGTGTGTAATAATTACAGGGATATACAGTCAGAAATGTAATATATTATACATAACTATGTTATTTTATAATCATCTACGAGCTCAGCCTCTTAACCTTAATATTTGCGTTGCCTTAGAATTCGTTATTTATAATTACATAGGAGCGGGTCTCGCAGCCATGGAAGCAGACATCTTTGCGCTACGGCAGCGCAGAGCCAACAAACTAATGAATGCGAGATCGCCAAAACGTCACAACGATGTAGAAAAAATAACGGCTATATTTATTATATTAAGTCTACATGAAATCTATACCCTACACAGACTAATGAAATGCTATCTGTAAAATTATCTATGTAAACAAACCTCATCACTTGAGAAGGTAGGTGATGCCGACGTCGTGGAAGACATTTTGTCCTGTAACGCTCGCCGTACTGTTGGGGGGGAGAAGCGGTGGGGGGGAGATGTTCATGTTGCTGCAGTCTGCAGTCTGACCGCTAGATGTCGCTAAAAGTTACACACTGTAGCTTTAAAGTTTCTTAGTTGCTTAGTAGATGATTTCTTCATGAAAGTTTTGGTTGTGACACAGAGATTCTCTTTCAGCCTCAAATATCGGCCGTTTGGTGCCTTTGTCCCAAGAAGAAGTGGCCAAGGCAGTTCGACAGCAACACCTGTCAGAGGTGTGGACAGTGGACTATGCCCAGGACTTGCTGCTGTTGGGGGGTCTCATTCCTGAGGCTGTGTGGTTGGCATCTCATCTGGGCGACTGGAAAACTGCAGTGACTCTAAGCCTTGCCTACACCAGTTACTGTTCAAGGCATTTTGACTTTACTCAGTAAGTTTAAATCTCCAAACAAGCAACTCTACATCTGAATCTGTCAGTTCTGTCTAAATACTTCCTGTCTTTCTCATCATGATAGGATTAGAAGGAGAGATTTCCTCCTACCATCAGAGTTACAGCCAGAAAGCATTTTTCAGGCTGAGCTGAAGAGTCTTCTTGGCAGTAAAACAGATTCAGAGAAGACTTTTAAAAATGGGAACGAATGCTTTACAGGTCAGTGAGTAACTCATAAGATGAAAATCTCCATCTGGCTAAAAGTTTATAGCTTACATCAGTATTTTTTCCTCACTTTCTCAGATCCTTCGGAAGGAGAAGATTGGGAGTTGTTACAGGCTTCTGTGCATGAAATCCTGAAAGCTTCAGCCATGGCAGGAGTGAATGTCATGTCGTTTCCTTTGTCAACGTTGTTGGACAAAGCCAAAGACATGTGCTCGTTCCTGCCCACACTGGTACCCGCTGAAGTGTACCTGCCTGCGCCTCCTCTGTATTGCCCACAGCCTTCTCTAAACACACAGGTATGGTTCTGAAGCGATCTACTTTTACTTTCAGTACATTTCAAGTGCCTCAGGTATTCATCAAGGTTATTGTCGTTGACTAAACTAATGATGCAATCATGAAAATTGGAATTAAAATAATGGATTATGGGGAGTGTTGCCTAGTGGTTAGAGCAGTGCGCTTGTGCTCTGAGAAGGTTGCAAGTACTCGGTTCAATCCCCACAGCCTGCACTCTGGGTCTCTGAGCAAGACCCTTAACCCAACACTGCTCCCCTGGGCACCACACAATGGCAGCCCACTGCTCCCATTGAGATGGGTTAAATTCAGAGTAAATTTTCTGATTATGGGACAATAAAGGGATTTACATTTTACATATTTTTAAAAACATTTTCCCTAACTGCAAATAGAAAAAAAAACAAACCTTGCAAAAAAAACTAAAAGCTAACTAAAACTGTAATAAAACTACGAATTCATTAAAACTAGCTGAATTTTGAGAGAATGTGCTTAGATTTCGTTTGTGTCTTTATCGTAATGCATTAATATGAGGTCTAGTATTCCGCAACAGCAACTGACTGAGACAAAATTTATTGTCATTTTGTGCACACAGTGTGTACAAAATGTCAATAAAGTTTGTCTAAGTCAGTTGCTGTTGCTGTACTGCATTAAACCAGTGGATGCAGGTATGGCAGTCAGGTCATTTTTGTTGCTGCAGCAATCTGTCCTCATCAGGGATTTTAATCACATTTATTTTTTTTTTTTGTCTTGTCCCTGGTATGTCTGTTGCAAATAAATTACTACAACCGTAACTAAAACCAATATAAACCAAACTGAACTAAGTATTTTACAAAAAATTTTTTTTGTTACCTGGCTAACAAATACAAAAAAAAATAATTGAAACTAAAATAGAACTGAGAATCAGAAGTCAAAACTAGATAAAAAAAAAAAAAAATTAAATCTTGGTATTCATCCTCTATACTAATAGAGCCTTTATAAGACGTTCTATGATGGAAACGTCTTTTTAACTTTATCTTGGACCTGTCTCTGGTGCTCATTAGTCTTCATGAAAATATTTGCTCACTTGTGTTCAGGCAACAACACAAAACAACTGTACTTATAGTGAGATTTAATCGCGTATGAATCAGAGATTAAGACGTTCAACATTGTTGCGGTTTTCCCTCTTTTCATTAGTATATAGAATAATATCCCTTTAAAATAGATTCTGAAAAAAAAAGTGAAACATTTTAACAGGGTTGGCTATAAGACCTTTTGAAGGAATGTAAAAACCTCAGATAAGTTTTTTTTAATTCTTAGGACCAAAGTTGCGGCCCTGAAGAATTTGCTGAAGTTGTTTGTCGTCACAAAGTCTCCGGAGTTCTCCAAAGATTGCTCCTTCTTCTGAGATCTGCTCATTGTTGCCGTCCTGCTGCACAGTGGTACATCAGTCGTCTGCGGCGTGCCAGACACATCCTTCACAAGGTCTGCGTAGTATTACATTTAATTCATAAAATACATTATTTAACATAATTAAGGTTCATCAAATGATTTGTGTGATATATTTATTTAAGATAGATAAAGGTAATTTATAATAAATAAATAAAAACTCATACATTTAGGACAAATCTTAACAAATATTACCAAAAGTATTACCATAATGTATAAGTAAACTTTTTTTTTAACGTGTTTGTTTAACTAAATTTTTCAAATATCTGAACATTTCTGCAGATTAAAAAGAAGTATTCCTATCCATCAGCTGCTGAGGAGGAAAATACTTTCCCTGAGGGACTATTAAAGTTGATCAGCCGTTCTGGATACTTTAGACGGGACCCTAATAAAGACGACCACCTGGACCCTGACACCATCCAAACCATCAGTAATATGCCAACTGTGAGGTGTGAATAGGATGGGAACCACTTGATGTCATCTTAATTTTCTTTTTTCTGTCAGTTTGTTTCAGAGAGCTTTGTGCTTTATGCTGGATGCTCCATGTCAGGGATCAGCTCTCCCTTCTATGCAGGAAGTATCAGGCTGCCAGACAAGAAGCGGTATTTTATAACCTTGCGTATGGTTTATCCTGGTTAGATTTTCCTTCCCGCTAATGGAAGTTTTCGCTCTTAGATCCCAGAGGATTCCCAGGTGAATTCAGCCAATGTTAATGCTCTTCTATGGGCTTGTCGTCTTCTGCCTTTCATCCACTTCCTCGGTGGTGAGGAGGTCCTTCAGGACATACTCCTCAGTCTACTGTCTGAACTTCCCCCTGTGCCATTGGTAATGCATTTTAAAGCTGGTACATGGTTTGGTGAAAGGAGCTGATTTTGAGTTTGAGGAATTTTCATTCTTGGCTCCTCGGCCTTGTAGGTGGCGGAGACGCTGGTTCGAGTCTTCCCCCAGGAGGAAGATTCTGTCAGAGTGTCTTTAAGAGAGAAATATAACTTGCTGCTGCAGAGGCTGGGCCAGTGCAACCTTGGTACGTATGCTTTCATTTTTGAGTGTTGGCAAATTTTAAATATTATACAGATTTAACCAGACAATGCTCATAAAAAGTAACCTTGTCATTCCAAAACTAGATCTACTAAAAAAAGCAAATGAAAACATGAAAATTCATAAAATTGCATTCCTTTTAGCATGGAATTATAACAGTATGATTCCCAATTTTTATGTTTTACAGAAGAAGGAGGGGAAGATGGGAACAAGTTGAAAATGATTTTTGTTCAAGACAGAAAGAGACACAGGAGGAAACATTTTGGGCGATTGCAGAGGCATTTGGCCATGCCTGTGCTCCATCTGTGGACGAAAGCAGATGAAGAGGAGGAAAGGGGGGGGAGAAATGACATGGCCACTTTGGGGCAGCTGTCCTTGGCTACTACTGTGAGCACCAGCAGCTTAACCGATGGTGGGTTCCAGCCAGTGTGCAGCGATGCAGACACTGCAGCGAACACACCTGAGGCCATCTCCCCTGAACGGCACAAGAGCAGGTAAGAGAAGTGAACAAGAAAGATAAACTGCTATTATTATTTGTTTGTGTCCTGATTTATCTATTCATTTTTTTTAGGAAAAAGAAATCAAATAAAGATGACAAGAAGATCGAACCTGATTTGGAAAGTGACCTTAAAGGGAACCCCAACATTACAGCGAGAGACAAGGAGCAGCTTTCTCTACCAGTGGTCGGCTCCTGGGAGTTTGAGCTGGAAGATGATGAGTACCTAAATTTCTTGGAGCTCTTCCTTAGCTATGTGCTAGAGAAGGATACTACGGATGCTATGGACTGTGGAGATGAGCTACCTTTGTTGAAAGGCTTCAGCTATCAGCTAAGGGAGAAGGAGCTGCATTCATTAACTTTCGATGTAGTCTCTACTGTGCATCGTCGTCAAAGAGGTGGGCACCTCCTAGAGACAAAGCACTCAGGGAAGCCCTCGTCTGTTTTTAGAGCGGGCTGTTGTTATAAACATAAACAAAACCCGATAACCGAAGCACAGACTTCTTCAGTTTGGAGTGAAGATCCCATTTCCAGGGACAGCATACCTGTCAGCCTTCATCTCGGGCAGAGAACTGAGAAACATAGAGGTTTGTTTGGCCTCAGGCAACAGAGCGATATCTCATCAGCAAGAGTAAAGAAAGCAAATCTTTCCTCTACTGTAGAACACCCCGCAGAGAGCCTTAAACCTGGCTTTTTATCATCGGTGGAAACTGTCACTGACTTACAGCAGGGCCTGGATCCTGAGTTAGAGGCCCGGTTTCCAGAGCTGGGCAGGCTGCTGGAGTGGATGGTACGCTGGGCTGATAGAAGGATCCTCTTAGGACATCACAATAAAAAGAAGAATGACTCTTCAGGCAAACCGGATGAGGGAGTTGTGATTCGTGTGAAAGCAACAGCACCTGCTATCCTTACCTCTTTAGGTTTGCTGGAGCACAGGTATACGACTTCACCCCAAACTGAGCAGTACACTTCCTACTGCCACGTCCCTGAAATGCAATGGACTGTTCTCCCTATGCTGCATTCGGATGTGGAAAGAAAGACTGAGAGAGAAAGCAGCATCGATACTGGCTACCCTGGATCTGCCAACACTCCCATCACTGGTCCTGATCTTAAAGTGCAACAAGAAGAAACCTCTCCGTAAGTACAGGAGGTTCCCAAACCAGCCCTGGTAAGACAGCAGGTCTATTTAGATGCAGATTATCCAGAACACGGATGCTTCCACCAAATCTGGCCTTAAAGACATAAGCTGGAAAATATTCTGGATATCAGAACCCTATTAGCATTACTGATCATTTTATCTCCATATGACTGCCTTTCTGTACAATAACATCAATGACTAATTGTCTGTTTTATCTAATTTCTCCCTATTTTTCAGTGTCTGGTATATAATAAAACTATAGAATTTCATAATATAAAGTACCTTAAAAGAGCAAAGCAAAGTTTTTTCTTTTATCATAAGACAAAAGATCAATAAAGTTAGAAATGTGTCATAATTACTTATTGTTTTCTTCGCTTTTTATCAACTTGTACAAAATCTATGTTATTTTTTATTTATTTTCTTTATTCTATATTTGGGAAAATAATGCCTCTTAATTTTACTGTGTAAAGAGCTTTTGATAGATTTACTCTTTATGTTGTTGTTTTTCATTATTAGTTCTGTCATGGATGAACGCGAGGAGCTGACGTCTCCTCCTCCAGTGGATCAGGTTCAGCTCAGACCTCCAGGTTCCCCACAGCCCAGTTTCACTGACTTGGATTTTATGCCTGAAAAAGGTTTGCTTAAACAGTATGAATAATCTTATGGTTACATTCATTCAAAGATTAATTAACATTTCTGATATTTGCAGACAGAAGCTGGGACAGTAAGAGCGTTGCTGTGATACCTTCTGATTCCAGTGAGGCTACCTCCAAAGATGTCTGCACGCCTGAAACGGTTTCTACTATTATTGCATATAATATTGAATATTCACTCTGCTCCATTCTGGAATTCATTCATTAATTCATTCATTGATTCATTTCACTTTGCAGAGCTTAAAGCTTGAAGACCTTGACTACGCTGAAAAACGTTTATCCAGTTCCCAATCCCAGTAAGTTTCAAATGATAATCTTTTAGTAGTTAAAGTTACTGCTGTTATATGTAGTGCAGCAGAGTCTGAAAATGGTGTATATTGGTTTGGACATTTTTCTAGTAAGGTGTAAGAAACTGACTATGGAAATGTAGTATGATAATAATAATTATAATAATTGAACACTATTGATCGCACACAGGAGAAATTCACCTTTGCATTTAACCCATCCCATTGGGGAGCAGTGGGCTGCCACTGTGCGGTGCCCCGGGAGCAGTGTTGGGTTAAGTGTTTTGCTCAGGGACCCAGAGTACAGACTATGGGGATCGAACGGGGTACTTGCAACCTTCTGGGAGCACAAATGCGCTGCTCTAACCACTAGGCCAACACTCCCATAATGCTAAAGTTATTAATCTAGACTCTTGAGTTTGTAATTTGGGGATAAAAATGTTTTAGAACATCTTACTTGCTATAATATCAGCATCATGGATCTTTTAACCTTTTTAAAGATCAAACTGAAAAATAAATCTTTGACCCTTCTCATTCATTTGCTGTTTACAGGCAATATATATTATTTATTTATTTCAAATGGCTGTAACTGAATTATCCTTTTTGTTGTCTAATTTTTTCCACAGTTATCCTCCTGTTAAGCCAGAACCTCCTGCTCTTCCAGATTTACACCGTGAACCTCCTCCTCATGCTGAATCTCCTGATTCAGGTCCCGCCCCCCTCCCCAACCCTTCTACTGATCAACCATCTCTCCAACCACAGATCTCCACAGCTGGTGCGCCCCCTCCTGATTGTACAACTCCTGCTCCGCCTTTGATAACTCCCCCAATGAGACAGCGTCTGGGTGAAGACCTACTCAGACTGGTTCAGGTAACGTCTCTTGGAACAAAGGGCAAGCTGTGTGTTTGAAGAATTGAAATAAATGCTCTATATTGAAGGCAGCTGTCCTGTTTTGCAGCACATCAACTACATGAGTTTGAATGAGGTTTTAGGAGCTACGTTCTCTAGCCTGCAGCTGGCTCAGAGGAGCTCCTCTTCTGTCATCCCTGGCATGAACTCCTCGCAGCCTAATGTGCCTTCATCTTCTGTTACTCAAGTTATTCGGGAGGAAAACATTTTTCCAGTTCAAAACGCTACCTCTGCCGTGCCTCGAACACATGCGTGTTTGCCAAAGTCAGAATCCTCTGACCCCCAGGTGAATCAGATGGAGTCATGTCATTTTGCAGCCCAGCCTGTCATGCAAAAAACAGGAGACAATCTGAATCACTGTGTAGGTGTAACTTTATTAAAAAGATTACATTTTTATCTGATTAAATAATGCATTTACAGGCTATTTGTTTTATTTTTCAGGTGATGCAGCCGCTCTCTGTCCAAGCAGCGTCACCAGAAATTCAGGAAAGTGAAAAAAGGAGACTGATCCCTTCTTCACATGGGCTCTTGGCCACTACTCATGGCAGTGACACTAATCCACACCTGCCCCCTAAAGGCAGTGCACAGACTGGCTCTAAAGGCAGTGGACAGACAGGCTCTGCTGTGCAGATGTTGGGTCTGAAGCTACTTAAACTCCATCATTCTGCTACGTCCCAGCAGGCTGTCCCACGCTTTGCTGCACAGCACACGCAGACTCCTGAGTCCCACCAGCCCAAAGTTACACTCTATCATCAATCAACTTGGAAAAACACAGATGGACAGCATCTGACCTTTAACCCTTCACATGATCCACCTCACAGGAACTCTCCATCGCCCATATGGCCGCTGGGAGCGTCCGTCGGTCAAACTTTCCCTCTACTCCCTCCTGCTTTTCAGACTCCTATATCTACATCGCTGCATGGCCTTCGCCTGCTGCAGTTACAGGATGTTCCTCGTAGCAGCATTCGCTTCCCCAAATTAACTACAGCAGTTGCACCAAGACCTGTTGTTATTTCTGCTGGAATGACAGAAGCACCTTTAATTAGGCTTTTACACATTGATCCTGGACCCAAAGTGGTAAGCAGGCCTGATGTTTCTTCAAGGCTTTAAGAGTTATCAAAGGAAACGTATTAATTCTAATTATTTTCTACTTATCTGTTGATTACAGATGGAACCCCAGGGAATTCATTCAAACTCAATGAGTCATCTTATGGAGGAGTTGACAAGTGCAGAAACCTTGCAGCAAGATACTAAAGTGGCTCCACTGCAGTTACCTAGACAAGCTGAATCCTATGAAGGCATTAGAAAGCTAACTAGCTCCCTAAGCTTGAGTTCCAGTAAAAGGTAACCAAATATTAGCTTCCATGATTGTTGGTCATGTTTTATACTTGGTTGGTTATACTTATTTTACTAAGTTTTTTCCCTTTACAGGCAAAAGAGGAGAGAAGATAAGACAAAGGGAAGGAAAACAGAAGTGTCATTTTGTCTAAATGAGTCCATAATCCCGGCAAAAGAGGTAAAACGGGTCAATTATAATCATAAAGTAGTTTTTTTTCAGCAGATTTTATAACTATTTGTGGTAATTTACCTCGATTATATTCGACTCAATCTGAATTTAGGCAGCTCACGTACCTGAAAGTAAAGAAGCTGCAATTACTGAAGAGATCAAACCTGCACAGGACATGACAGGTGATAACAACACACCCACACACACAGCCAAACTTGTCTCACTATCTTTGTTTGGGGCCTTTCCATTGACTTCCATTAATTTCTGCAGCCTAACTGTGACCCTTATCCTAACCCTAACCATTAGGGGTTTATACCTAACCCTAATCCCAACCTAAACTCAATTCACAAGATGCTCATAAACAGGAGCCTGACCCTAAAACAACTATTCCCTGTATGGGGTCGATGCATCTGGCCCCACAAGGAGCAGTCTGTCCCTACAACGTACTTTTTTCCCTGAAAATGGGCCCCGCAATGTTTTAAAAACAAAAGTGCACAAACACAACGTTACTCTGGTTAAGCCAACATCGTTTGTGCACTAAACATTGCACCATCTGAATTTATCTATCTTTCTATTCTTGCTTTTATCCCAGCCTTCTATTCTTCTTTCCATTCGTCTGTCCTTTCATCCTTGTATTCACTCTCGTCATTCAACTTTTCACTATTTACAGCCTGGCTGATGTGAAAATGCTTGCCTTAAATTCTTGGGTGACTTTTCAGTTTATACTAAAAGTCCATAAATCTAGGCTTAGAAAATTATGGAACTTTGGCCACAAAAAGAGTGTAGGTTCCCCTCCTTTCCATATCTAGTTAAATATAAAAAAAAAAAAAAAGGTATTAATATTTTACTAACTTAAATGATATTGAAACAGATTCATTTTTATAATAAAACCATACTTCATTGTTTTCTGTATTAAGTCTAATTTATGTTCTGGACCTTCAGTTGCAGGATCCTCCAGTGATTTGCTGACCGATAATAGATTACTGGAAAAAGTCTTCTCCACTTCAGCCGAGCTCCATGCCTTCGCTTCAACAAGCAAACATCCCCCGGAGTGTCACGATGCTTTCACTAACACAGAGCCAGGTGACTCAGGGCTGGGCTTACTTTTGCAGTTTAGTTGATATGAAACTGTTGTTTACCTTATTTTAGTTGATTAATCATTCAGAAACATCAAAAGTTTATCTGGGTTCAGTTTTGTTTAATATATGTTGGTTAAATTAATTGTAAATGCAAGAATGTTTTGTCCTAAAATTTCACAATATCTAATGAAACCTTGATTTTCTTTCAGCTCTTACTCCTACAGTTGAGAACAGATCTGTTTCTGTCCAGGCCTCAGTAAAAACTAGCAGCCCAAAAAGTAAGCTGACCTCAGATTATATTGTTTTTATTTATTTTTTTTATTTATTTTTTTTGTGGATGAAATTTCAATTGATATTTTTTAAACACAGCTTAAGTGAGTTTTTTTTCTTTTTCTTAACTTAGTGCAAAGTCTAGAGAATTTCCCAGAAGACCCTGTTCGAGGCACAGTGGAGAACCAGCATGAACCAGAGATGTTGAAGGTAGGAGTCCCCTCAAATGAAGCAGAAAAGTTTTCAGCCGAACTAAGTCATGAGTCTAAAAACTAAATGTGCTTAAATTGCCATAAAATCAAGTTGTTTATTGTTTGTTGATTGAGTTCTGACAAAAAAAACATGTGTTATTTCCCTGGTTTTCCCCTTTTTTTCTTGCTTTTTCATGTCAGGATCCTGCTGGCCGCCAGTTTCTAAGCGTCTTCGATCTGGAAGATGTGAGGCAGCATGAAGCTGTGTTGCCATCCTCCAGCTTACAACCACGGGATGTTTCTTCACCAACTTCTGCCCAGCTTCATGTTCTTGCCACCTCTGTCTTTAGCTCTGCTGCTCTAAATGGGTCACAACCCTCAACCTCAGTTCCAAACGATCTGTTGAAACCCAGATCTACCACAGGTTTTTCACTATTTTTTTTTTATAGAGCCTTGCAACAATACTTATATCCTTGAACATTTTTCACCTTGCAACCACAAACTGTGTTATTTACTGGGATTTTATTTTATTTTACATGATTTTCAAAAGTGATTGAAATGTGAAAAGGATTCTGTATATTTGCATTCAGCGTCCCTTACTCTGTTAGCTCTAAATTAAGTTTTTGTGTTGATTCAAAACTTCTGAGAACAAAAATTGAACAAGGATCATAATTAACTCTAAAGAACATGCCAAACATCAATCAGAGATGTGGCTCTAGTACCTCATGACCATCTGCAGAGATCCATAGGTCAGGTGGAGCAATGAGCTAACAAGACAGGGATTACTTGCCCATTTAACGTGCATGGCTTTTATGGAAGAGTGGAAGAAAGAATGCCATTAGACGTTTCATCAGAGTTTGCCACAAGCCATTCAAGAAACATAAAGGTGATGATGGTACTGGGGTCATATAGGACTGTACTTCAACTTTATGCTTTACAAAAAAAACTAACCATTGACCCAACCCTTAATATATAATCCATATGAAACATGAAAGTGGCAGCAGTATACTGCAGGGAAAGGTTTCTTGGTATGGAGAGATAAGCTGCTCAGAATTAATGGGCAAACAGGTGGAGCTAAATCAGGAAATTTTCTTTTAGGCACAGAACACTTGGGTTGATGGAGGTTTACACTCCAGTCAGACATTGATCCTAAACATACAGCCAGAGGAAAGGTCTAGATGGAAGCAGTTTGATGTGCTGAAATAGAACACTTAAAGGCAAGGCAGGTTTGTTTGAATAAACTACTGACTTTAAGGCAATGCCAAGTGCTTAAAGTCCTGCTTTAAGAATCTGTGGTTTTCCCAGATGCTCTTCATCCGATCTAACTGAACAGGACGTAGTTTGCATGCATTAATGGTCACTGGATTATAGTCTATGCAAAGCGAAGCTGCTAGGGATGTATCTCAGAGTATTTGTAGCAGGAATCCACTGAAATGTTTTTTTTGCAAAGCATTGTTTTGAAGGCCTGAATGAAAATAAAGGTGGACTTTTTAAATTTTTATTTAGAAATCATGTTTTTCATTTTATAAATCTTTGTTAATCTATCACAAAAAATCATAGTAAAATACTTTATAGTTTGTAGTTGTTACATGATGAAATTTATAACAGAGTGTGAACTTTTTTTTTCTCCAGTATTGTCCTTATTGCTTATCTGCTTTTCTCACAACGATCTGATCCCATAGAAGTCCCTGAGGCTCCTCCTTCATTCAGTCATTCTGGCTCCAGTAGACCTGCAGAGAGAATCCCTTTAAATGGCGGCGCATCGGTAGATTCGGGTGAATCCAAAACCTGTCGAGCCATAAAGGACCAGACGCGTGTCTCTGACAGAGCCCCTTCCTCACCTCCTGCAGTTTGCTTCTCTTCACGTCTGTCAGAGCTTGACTCTCAGCTGGCTGCTTTGCAGAACATCGCAGATCGTCTTGAGATGGACTTTTCACATTCAAGAATGGTAAGTGGGGATGTTTGCTGGGAGTTGCTTAAAATATTTAGATATCCTTTTATAAATCTGTCTACCACCAGTTAAATTATCTATTTTGTTTTTGTGTAGCTGGTAAACAAAATAGAAAAGCTGTCCTCAGAAAGTGAGTCTGATGCAAAGGGATTTAAAAGAAGTGTCAGACTTTCTGCTCCAATCAAAGGTCAGACCAGAACTGTTTTATCTGTTATGAAAATTATAGCACCATTTCGTATTTATTTCATTTTGTCTTAATTTTAAAACCATGTTTGTTATCTCCAAAAGCATGGACGTCAAGGACAGATCCAGACCTCTTACCTGCTTTGAAGGAATGTGACGAAATTAGGGAAGAACAGGAAGAGGAATCCATGTTTCATAAAGTCTCCTGCAGTCCTGCAACAAAGTCATCACCTTATGATTCAACCAAATCTTTCTCTCCAAGTCGGGGTCCTTCCTCTGCTCACATCGCTCCAGGTTCAAATGCAACTAATTCAGACATTTTTGTTGTCTTTAATCACAAGTTTATGCAACACCATCAATTCCATTAGCTGGATTTGGGGAAAATGCAGATTGTTTTTTTCTCCCAATCTGAAAGGATGATATCTGTTAGCTCTTTAAATACAGTGCGACTTTAGTGCATTTCATCTAATTGTATTTCCTTGTAGAAATTTATTTTAAAAAAGCTAAAATTTTCTCAAATCTTTCACCCAAAGGGAAAAAAGAGCACTACAGTGAAAGCTACGACGTGTCTCACGAGTAAGTTTAACCAGACCTGAAGTCTTGTTAAAATGTAAAACTTCCTCTAACTTACAATGTTTCACTCTTGTTATTGTGCAGATGGACAGAAATGAATCTGGGTCAGACTGAGTTATCCGACACTATGGAAATCTTAGACGAGTTGGTGAAGGAAGGCTACTTATCTCCCTCTGACTGGGAACCCACTCAGACTGCAGGCCCAAGCAGGTACAGAGTACAAATGTGTGCTTTTTTAATTGGGGATATACACCATCTGACGGAAAATGTGACCTTTAGGAGGCAGGACCAACAGCAACATGGCTGGACATCCCAAAACAGTACACGTACTGAGGAGGAAAAGAAGGACCTGAGGATTTGGATGAGACAAAAACAAAGGGATAGACTGGCAGCTTATCAGAAACACAGACAGAGCCTGAGGGAGAGGGAGCACAAACCGTTCTCTGCCTCTTCAGCAGGGGTGAGATATGCTTGCCTTTTTACTCCGAGATGTGATATTCCAGTTTTTTTTTTTTCAATTTATCTTTTTTGTAAAAAATATTTATTACTGCACCTTAAAATTCTGCAGCTATCAGCAAGCAGAAAACAATCGAGCAGTGGGAGAAACAAAGATGAAAAAGAAAAGTAGGTACCTGTGTACTTTTGGATCGATTAGAACATGCATGCATTTATAAACTGTTCTGTCCACTTTATTTATTAGGTCCATGCTTCTGAAGCAATCCTACCAGAGAACACAGGAGGCTTGCTCTTTGGCCAAAGATATCCTCAGTTCTTCTGTAACTGCATCCACTTCCACCCAGGGTTTTGGGCCTCCAGTTCTCTCCAGCACCTGGTTGATTTCACCTCCAGCCCCCTCTCCTTTTAACGCTTCGAGGTATCCTGTGGTACTAAAATGAAATACGTATATTATGTTGTAAACAGTAATTGGGGTAAGTAATTGCTTATCAGCTAAAGAAAAGAACCACAACTTATCCGTTAAGTTCATTTCGAAAGATAAATCCTGTTAAACCTGGTAAAGGCAAAAGAGTGTAATATTACCTGTGGGATTTAAAATCAACTCTTCAATTAAACATATTATTAGAGATTTCACTGTGGTCTTCAAGTTTGCTTGGAGTTTTCTAAGTTTATAACCACCTATGAAGTCCTCTAAGGGATCCTCTCTAGATTATTTCTGTCTTCTATGAAAACCTTTATTTAGCCAGAATAGTCCCCTTTCTTGCCTAAAGTGAAAAAGTTATAGATAAAACATATAAATAAAACTTTTAAAAGATATTTAAAAAATAAGAAAAAGTGTTGATAGTGATGCTTAATTGTGTTACACAGTGAAAAAAACTCTTAAGACATTTCATGGTTAGAAAACTAGATTTGTTTTTTGTTCTCATTTAATTTCATTTATACATATTCAGTATGACATGTATGTAGCTGACCTAAAAGGTCCAGAGAATCAAGAAAGCTGTAACATGGTGGACATCATTTTGCAACTATTACCTTGTTGTAAACAGAACATATGACAGGGATTGATCATGAGTGACACCAATACTTCAGATGTCCTGCATGTTTACATGTTTGGAAGAAGACAGAAAGTTTTTGCTAGAGTGCAAGACAAGTGTCGACCTTGTTTAATCTGTGTGACATTTCTCTCCTGCAGGCCTCTGACCATAGCAGCTAATGATAAAAGAAGTCTTAAGTCTCAGTCAGGAGTTTCCCCTCCACCCCCACATTATTCTGCAGAAGGGAGACCTTCAGAAGATCGCAGCAGAAGACTGGGACTTCATCGACCAGGTATAGTTATCACATGCTGTACTTCAATACATCCGGTGCTGCGTTGGGGCATCGTTTCAGGGATAAACAGGAAAACTAAAGACTTCTATATATTGGCTTGAATGTGCTGCTATAGGTTAGATGTCTGCTGCTGATAGTGGACCATTAATAATAAGAAAATAATTGTCCTGTAGGATGGTTGAATTACCAAAAGCCTTGAACTTTACTTATCTGCTGAAATGTGGGACAGAATTGTTCAAAACCCTATTCCAAAAAATTACTTTATGTTTACTTATACTATGAATTTCTTTGTTTTAGTAACATTTTTGCCGGGGGATCGACTGTCTCAGATAACAAGGCGTGGAATGCTAAGCAACACCAAGAACCAATCCAAGTTTCATGAATCTAACCAGAGTCAGGGCCAGCGTGTTGGATTCCAAACAAGAACTGGATCCAACGACACGGTTTCCTGTGGAGCTGCTTTACGAAGAGGGAACCAGAGGGAACTAAGACAAGTAAAGGAGCCTAAGACTGGGGAAGACTCTTCCTTGGTAAGAGTCAAAAAGCCTGTGTTCCAGTCTTTCCCCTGTAGAGAAAAAAGAGCAGAAATGTCCTTTTCAGATCACCCTAATTTCTCGATTAGGATTTTTTTCTTTGCTCACATGCAGCTAATGTAGTTTTCTGAATCATAACAAACGATCTGATCTTTACCACCACCTTTTGTGTTCTTTTTTTTTCTTCTTCAGGTTTTAGACAGGATTTTAGATGGGCAGGATGGTGCTGTGCCAGGTGGAGTTTCAGAATTCGACTGGCTGGATGATCTCTCTGACAGCGCAGGCAGTAGTCTGAGCAGAATAGACTGGGCTGCTATTGAAAGGATTGTGGCTACAGAAGAAGACTAATAGGAGAAACAACTACTGTACAGTAATCTTGATCAAATAGTACCATAGCTGCCTATAATCAGAATTATAAATTGTAGATTTAAGAATATGTTCTTTATTGTCTGAAGTTAGATATGGAAACTTTTTAAACATTTTTGTTTTTAATGTCTTTATGAGTTATCTTTATATTTCTATTACTATGTCTTATTGACTGTTTTTTAAGCTGTGGTTTAATTAAAACCCTTTATTATAAATTGTTGTTTCAGACTTTCATTGTTTCAGACTCAAATCTAAATTTTATTTACTATATATAGTTTACTAATATGTTTACATTTAAACACTTTAAAAACATTCAAAGAAAATGTATTACGTTAGATGAGTTCACAAATATCTGTATTGGATCCATGTTTGTCGGGCACTCAGCTTTCTTGGGCCTCATTTCTGGTATATTATAAAGGTTATTTTGTTTCAAAACTATTTGTGCATTGTAAGTGTGAATTCGAAGTTGTAGAGAGAGAGTTACAATCCAAGTCTTGTATTTGGAGAATAAAAAAAAAAAATCACATGTAAATTTTTTTTTTTTACACCCGTGCAAATTTTAAGTACAAATACACAAATTCTGTTCTACAAGATGCACATCAAAGACCTCTTACATTCTCAGTTTTGCTTCAAAAGGTTTAGAACTATTGTTGACAAACTATTTGTGCATTGTAATTGTGTTTTTTTTTTTTTTACTGAAATTTTTTTCTATTCTGTCACAATGGCAAAAGAAAAAACCTCTTCAAATTCTTGAGTACAAGTACACAAATTGTATTCTGTAAGTTGCACATAAAAAATTTCTTTAGTTTTACTACAGTTGATCTAAAACAAACGGTGTAAATCCAAAATACACAAAAACCTGAGATATCCAGAGACATTTCACCCTGAAAAAAGCTTGTCGTTTGGCGAACCAAATGCTGCTCTGCTGCAGTACTTCCCCGAGACGGCAGGGGCGCTGTGCACAACATCACTAAGGAAGAAGAGGAAGCACTTCCGCAGGTCAGAGGTAAACAGGCGTGTTTGAAAACATGGATGAAGGTAAACACTTTGCCGGTTTTAATGTCTATTTTATCAATATCACATTCATTTTAACTACTTAACTACATTAGTGCTTTTTAAAGTGTAGGATACCTGTAGGTTTCTTTGCGGGTTTAATTTGATAGCACCTGTAAATGCTTGCTAATGTTTTGCTAGCTTCACAATTTAGCTCGAAGTTCTTTTTACTTATCAATCTACATTTTTTTCAAAATGGAAAATAAATAACCAATAAAATGAAATAAAAAAATAAAAATGGAATTGAAAGTTGAACATAAAAAACACGTTTTTTATTAGATTCTCTTCTATTTGAAATGCTATTATAAAAGCCCTTGTTTGCATCTTTGTTCTTAGGCATCTATTCACCATATATGAAAGCGACATCAAATAGCTGTTCACCATGCTTAAAAATGGAATATTTGTTATAAATTGTACTGTATTGTTTTCTCTTTGAGCAGACAAACTACCTAGTGATGGAGACATTGGATCTGTCATGGGGTTCTCTGGGTTTGGTATGCACAGCTTTAAAGGCTTGATTATATTTATTTTACCACAGACCTTTCGTTGATGTTGGACGTGCATCTAATGTGTGTTTTTATTTTATTTTATTTTTTAGGTAAGAAGGCTCGCACATTTGATCTTGAAGCCATTTTTGAGCAGACCAGGAGAACAGCTATTGAAAGGAGTCAGCGAATCCTGGGTGTGTATACTCAATGACTGATTGATTGACTTTATTGATCGCACAGTGTAGAAATGTACTCCTCACATTGGCTCAATAGTCAAAAAGAAGAAGAAGAAGGTGCCATAAGGGGGAAAAGGTGCATGGGGGTATATACAGTGCGTCCATATATATATATATATATATATATATATATATATATATATATATATATATTGCACAAGTTATTACCATTGTAGTGCTGGATTGAAGTGTGTGGTCGGTGCAGGGCTGATTGACCTGTATTAGCACTCCTTTTTACAAACAGGGTGTAAAAGTCTTTCACTAAAGGAGCAGCTCAGCTCCTCTATAGGTCTGGTGCAGGGGGTGAAAGGTGTTATCCATTATGGATGTAAGCTTGGACAGCACCCCCCTCTCAGCTTCCTCCACCGAGTCCAGAGCACATATTAGGACAGAAACAGGCTTTCTCAACAGTTTTTTTTAGTCTCCTTTTGTCCCGTGTATAGTGATGCTGTCTTACACATGGATTCAATTCTTTATATGATAACCTCCTTGTCCTGTAGAAGCGTTAAGATCTATTAATTATCTTTCAAAAACAAACGCTTAGACCTATAAAGCCTGGGATCCAGATTGAAGGGCTCCATGTTTCAGGAGTTGTGGTGGAAATGTAAACTTTATGGCCAGGTGATATTGTGCAGTCTCTCAAAAATTTGGGGTTGGCTCCAAGTTGGTCATAAACACAAACTACAGACTTCTTCAGTTAATTGATACAAATTAAATAGATTTGTAAAAGAAAATTTGATAATAAAATGTCTGGTACTTTGTTTTAAAACAGAAAAAGCTGTGTTTAAATATCAGACACAAGATGTTTTAATGATTAGATTGAGTTAAATTTTCCTCTGCATATGTTTCCATAGCTCAATCAATAGCGGTGATGGATAAAAGCATGTGTCCTTTTGTTTGTGCGAGTGATAATCATTAAAGTAGAAAACTATTGAATTATTGTAGACACAGGTTAACATGTCTAATGTTTGATTTGTTCCAAATATTGGGATGAGTTTGATGTGTAAAAGTGACATTGTAAACTTCTTGCCCCTCAGAGGAGCGACAGAGAGGAGCTCAGATGGAAGAGGAAGGTGAGAGCTCCAAGTCACTTAATCCATCAGTCCCCGGTCAGAGAGACAAAGGTGCAGCTAGGTAAGACAAGACATGTTTGAGTGAACTAATCCAAAATCGTTGCTGTTCATGACTGAATTTATGTTTTTCATTATTATTATTCTAAGGAGCCAAGGTGGCAGTGACAGCAGCGATTCAGACTCTGAGATCATTGGTCCTCCAGTGCCCTCTCAACCTGTAGCCCAGGAGGAAAATGATGAGCCTATAGGCCCCCCCCTTCCACCAGGTTATAGGGACAGCTCAGCCAACAGTGATGATGATGAAGCTGAGGCAAAAGATGATGATGACGACGACGATGATGACGACGATGATGATGATGATGATGTATGTGTCTTAAGCTTTCATATATCGAGTTTCCAGTGTGAATTCTTCCTCTTAAAGGAATAGTACACCCAAAACATGATTAGCCTTCATTTTCTACTCACCCCCATGCTGAACAACACTCTGGAGTACTTTTTTGATATCTCAAATGCATCTGGAGATCTGGGAGGCTTCTTGCTGTCTGCTGACATTCAAATAATGGAGGTCTATGGTGACCGAGACAGAAAGGTCCATAAAAGTCCACAAAAAACGTGTCAATATTCCTCCATAATGCTCGTCCAATGTATTCCAAGTGTCCTGAGTGGGTAGCGTCCATAATTTACTCGAAACGAAGTCATTTAGAATGTTTTTAGAGCATAAACAGTAGTGTATAGGATTTCCTGAAAGCGCGCACATGCGCGCTCCCAACGCTACGGAAGCCGGCAGACCAAACCAGATGAAAGTGCGCATTCAGCGTCTGCTCTGCCGATAATGCAAGCGTAGAAGAAGAAATGTGCCGTTTACCTGTGCAAAGAAAGAAACAACGAAAGAAAAATGTCTGAGGACTTCAGTGTTGAGGAAGAGCATGAGTTCTTTGCCGAGCTGAATGCGCTGGTTTGGTCTGCCGGCTTCCGTAGCGTCGGGAGCGCGCATGTGCGCGCTTTCAGGAAATCCTATACACTACTGTTTATGCTATAAAAACATTCTAAATGACTTCGTTTCGAGTAAATTCTGGATGCTACCCACTCAGGAAACTTGGAATACATTGGACGAGCAGTATGGAGGAATATTGAAACGTTTTTTGTGGACTTTTATGGACCTTTCTGTCTCGGTCACCATAGACCTCCATTATTTGAATGTCAGCAGACAGCAAGAAGCCTGCCAGATCTCCAGATGCATTTGAGATATCAAAAAAGTACTCCAGAGTGTTGTTCAGCATGGGGGTGAGTAGAAAATGAAGGCTAATCATGTTTTGGGTGTACTATTCCTTTTAATGAATAGATAATGATCTTAATCTGTTCTACCATCCTAATACAGTCACCTGGTAGTCACCATAACAGTTGACTAAAAAAATGAAACTATAAAATAATTATTAATGTTATTCACAAAACTTATGTTTTTTGACACACAACTTTTCTTATTCTGCAATTATAGAACTTTAAAAAGAACAGAGGACCTTGTTGTTGTCGTTGGGAATTGGCGGCGTAGTGGTTAGGGCATAGAGCTTGGAATCCTGAGGTTCGAGTCCCACTCCCACAGACTTCCACTCTGGGTCCCTGGGCAAAAAGACCATTTACCCCACCCTACTTCCCGTGCGCCCCATGGTGGATGGGTTAAATGCAGAGGGTTAATTTCGTTGCTCGGCACTCTGTGACCGTGCAATGGCAATTAAAAGCTGGAAAAGTTATGGGATGTCACAAAGACGACCACTAGGTGGCATCACCAGAACAGGCATTTACCATGTAGTATTGTCCTATGTGTTTAACTTAGCTGATGTCAAATGGTTTCCAAAAATATCAACTTGTATATATATTTTTTCTAAAAAATTATGATATGAAGAAGAAACGGCTCAGGTTGGAGCAGACGGTTCAGGTCAAACACCAAACTTTGGTTATTTGCATGTAGCAACCCACAGCTCTTACATTACAAAGATTATTTATCGACAGATCTATTCTAGATTACAAAAGAAAACTTATTCAGCTCTGTGTTCCTCTATCAGAACCCAGTGAAGAAGATTCCAGACACCCATGAGATCACTTTACAGCACGGCACCAAAACAGTAAGTTTTGCTGGCATCACTCTGCTGATGACTACTTAAACATATTCAAATATAAAGTACTTTTATTGTGGATAGAATATTGTTAGATAACCAAATACGTATGTTTCATGCCTTGAAATAAGAAGTCCCTTTGGCTATTTAGCAAATTTGCAATAGCAGTTACATTTATCCTTTCATTTTATTCTGGATCAGTTCTGATCCTGTTTCTTGAAGCACAGCATTTACAAAATTGAATAAAATTGAACAACCAGACAGCATTGACTTCAAACATTTGGCTTTTGGTGCTTCTCACTTTGAATGAATCAGTTTTGAAAAGGCTAACAGAAGTTCCAGTCTGATTCTGTAGCTTTAAGATGATCTTTAATCGACGGCTAATTGCGTCCTCAGGTATCAGCTCTTGGTTTAGACCCCTCTGGAGCCCGCCTAGTGACGGGCGGATACGATTACGATGTGCGGTTCTGGGACTTTGCCGGGATGGACCAGGCTCTACAGGCCTTCCGAACCCTGCAGCCCTGTGAGTGGTATGTGGAAAATCAACACAGTTGCTCAACATGTGTTTACATTTGTTTCATGCAAACGTCAAGCATACTGACTTCATTTAGGTGTGCTTAAAAGTGTACCCTCACATAAACACGCACATGAAGGCTTTTTAGGCTTCATCGGATCTAGTGCTTACTCTGTGGAATCCCCTCTTTTCATGCAAAATGTGGCTTCCAGAAGCAGATCTTGAAGTTATGTGTGTGTTTGTGTTTACTCTGAGTTCCGCTGAACCTGCTATTAAAGATCACATTCTTTTTTGCTTTTGGGAACCGGTGGCCTGAGCTAGATCAGGCTTCCCCTTATTAAGAAGATTTCATGCAACATTTAATATGATTACTGTGTGATCTGGTAGCCTGTTAAATTTACTGAAGTGCTGAACCTAAGTTGGAAAGCTGAGAAACAGAGTTCCACTTTCAACATAAAAGTTTCCTTTTGACATAAAACTGCAGCTTCTGAACTCTTTGAGTCTGTCGGTTACCCAACCTCTCAACTCAACCATTTCAATAGCAAAAAAAAATCTTTAAATGTACCATCTGCCTCTTCATCTTATTGCTTGAGTTTGTTGTCACTCATCAAATATACAAAATAAGGGTCACCCAAGATGTGAATGTGTCTATAGCTTAATGCAACCAATATGCTAACTTTTAGAAACAAAAGCTAGAACCACAGACATGCCAGCTAACATCTGCTTCATTCTGTTGCGTTTGACAGTCATCAGATCAAGACCTTGCAATACAGCATCACAGGTGATGTCCTCCTGGTGGTCTCTGGCAATGCACAGGCCAAAGTGTTGGACCGGGATGGCTTTAACGTCATGGAGTGTGTGAAAGGAGACCAGTACATTGTGGATATGGCCAACACAAAGGTTTGCAAAAATAACTTTCTTAATTCATTAAGCTAAAGAAACTGTTTAAAATATCTCTATTGATGCCTTTTAGCACTGTGTTCATGTTGAAATTACATTATAGTAGTTTTTAGACCTGGCTATTCAGAGTGGAAGCCCAACAGAAAAATAGATATTCGCATCAGATGATCATCATGAATATAACAGAGTAAATGTTCTCAGATCAGACTGATGATATTTGAGAAAAAGTGCAAATATATTAAGAAGAATGTTTTGATTATTAACCATCAGCTTTATTCACAGTGGTTTAGCTATTATCACTGTTCAGATGAATCTTCTCTATCAAGATTGAATTACAGAAAGGTTGATTATTGGAGATGAGGTGCTAGAAGCATGTGTTTACCTTTATGTTGTGCAATGGGTTTCTAAAGTTGATATATTATTGACCATGTGTTCCTATTTTTATAAGACCAGGGCATCATAATATCTACATCAATATTATTTTTACTAATATGGGCAACTTTAATACATTATAATTAGTGCTGTCAATCGATTAAATTTTTTAATCGCGATTAATCGCATCAATGCCTGAGTTAACTCGCGATTAATCGCATTTTAATCGCACATTTTTTTCCTGATTGAAAATCATTTAAATACTCTCGATGACATACAAAAAAATACATACAGGCTAGGTTTGTGCCAATGTTCTTTTTTTAAAATGAAAACAGGTCACAGATACTGATTTATGCCATAGAAACATATGGCAAGAAGATGGGGAGGCATGTAGCAAAAAATAACAAATATGTAGCCAAAAAAAAAGGCCCTGAAAACAGGCTGATGTAAAAGACAGTCTTTACAGTTAATGCAGTCTTTTGAACAAAGACAAGCATTTTACCCTACTGCTATAAAATTTAGTAGAGTTAACATTAGATGTTAATTAACCAAGGTAATGAACAATTTTCAATCAATACATCAAAATCAATAGACCGACATCACTAGATGAAGGTAGTCTATGCTCTAGAAAGTTACTTTTCAGCCTCTTAACAAAAATGAGAACACACACACACCCACTCACCCACACACAGACACACCCACCCACACACACACACACACACACGATACCGACCTGTTGCGTACACAGACGGCAAGAGTGCTGCTACGAGATTCCATTTCACCTCAGTAATCAGTTTTCTCAGCGTATTTCAGGTTGCTACTAGTTACCAGACACTCAACTTGTTTGTTGGTGGTGGGGCTTAAAGAAAAGGCACTAGCGTCACCCAGTGTATGAGCGTCTTTTTCCCTTGAGGAGCTCCGCTCTTGAAGCCTATGAGAAATGCATAGACTGGGGGAAAATAGCCCCGCCTTCCCGCAGGCTGCAGCGGGATGTACTTGGAAAATTGTACCATAAAACCACATAGCGTTAATCTCACGTTAAAAAAATTATCGCTGTTAAAATGGCCTCACGTTAACGCGTTAATAACGTGATAATTTTGACAGCACTAATTATAATAATGATAATGTACAGATTTTCCAGCTTTCAGCAATTACAGACACAAAAATAAAATTCTCTAAGCACTTTAATGTTTTTGTCCAAACTATTAAATACTTCAAAACAACAGGCCTGATTCTATAATAATGCCCTGTTGTTGTTTTTCTTAATACATTACTAATTTACATGTAGAACATGTGAAACTCCAAATGTTAAAAGATCCAATCTGTGTTTGTTTCCCTCTTTTTAGTAGCAGCCTTACTGAAAAAGCTTCTTCCAGGTGTAATCCAGGATTGCTCTGCTCTCTGGGTAAACCCTGCAACCATTTGATGGTAGTGGGGCATACCTTCTCCTTGTTTTGGTTACAAGTTCAATGGTCAGAGGCTAATTTTTGGGGAAAAGGGACTCCAAATGTTTTCTGGTCTGTTTTGGTTCAAATAGCTGAACTTAGAAAACAGCCCTAATTAAACGTCCATGTTTGGGTTTTAGAAAGCTGTATTCGTGGTCAGCGACCATGTCTGCCAGCTGCACCATATGTAGACATGGTTTATAAAAGCCATATAAATGTGCTTGAAGTGAAGGTCCATTTATTGCAGGAAGCTGTTTTCGGGATGTTCTACATTCTTATCCTGCTCCGTCCCATCTGGAGTCGATTGGTTCAATGGAAATGCATGTTGGCATGCTAACGGTGTCTCAGTCGATTAGCCGTCTCTCATGTGGTGATCAACTCATTGCCTGTTCTCTGCCTGAGTTGACTTGTAATTACATCCCTCCTGATGGCTACTATCTGCTGAGTGGTTTGATACACAAAAGCGGATCCATGCATGCAGTTTAGATACGTTTACAAACAGAGAAACTCTGTTTATCATCATGGTGACCTTTGAAGGCAAATGGTCTTTGGCTAAATGGGATTTAATGCAAATAAACACCTTACTTTTTATTTCTCTTCCTTACATCTCAGCTTGTGTCTCTCTGTCCTTTTAAATTCCCAGATCAACCAACATGACAAATAAGAAATGCAATTTCATTATGTGCAGTATAACAATGGGATAGGCAAAACTTTGTGTTCAAACATGCTGGTAAAGGTTCTCAGTCATCCAGGTCATAGTCATTCCAAAAAAATCTAAAACAATCCGCTGGACTTGGTTTCCGAGTTTGAAGACGTTTCGCTTCCCATCCAGGAAGCTTTTTGAATTCAAAATGACAGGATTAGCTTTGAGTTCGAGGTTAAAACCTTGCAAAGCAAAATATCTTCAAACTCGGAAACCAAGTCCAGTGGTTTTTTTCTATTTATTTTTTGGAATTAGTGTTCAAGCAGTTCGGGGTTTAAATTCTAAATTCTCTTGCTTGTTTACAAAACAAGTGTTATGTCTTAGGAGGCCTGAAATCAGTTCAAGTTCCTCACATGAGGCAGTTTTAGCTTTTAAATGTAGACCTGAAGTTTTCCTTCCAGTCTAAACTACTAAGAACTAAAAATTCCCTGTTTACACCTGATGACTAGCATGATTAACAACCCCTGTCTTATATAATTTGTTTAGATTAAAATGACCAAAATCTATTAGTTGTTCTTGGCAACATTCAGCGTTTTAAATGTCCTCCATGTTGTTTCTGGCTGCCCACTCTGTGACTTCTCTGATAATAGTAGATTAGCTTGACAACATTGATGTGGCAGCTTTGATTTTTTTTTTAGGTTAAATGTCAATAAATCCTGATCATCATCCATCTGTGTGTTTAGCCTGTCGCAACTGGCCCAGGTTTAAAAACTTTCATTATCTGCTCTTCTTTTTTATCCAGGGACACACAGCTATGCTGAACAGTGGCTGCTGGCATCCTAAGATGAAAGAAGAGTTCATGACCTGCTCGTATGACGGGTGAGTTTTTAAATCTGCAATGAGCAGAAAGCTTCACTTCCCATTATCTTTTTTTTTCTTTCTCTAAATTCCTCATAAAATGTAATTGCCAGCTGTTGTCATTCAGATAAATGTTTGTTAATCAGCGCTTGTGCAATGCTATCTTAGATATTCATCCATTCACGTTTCTTAAAGAGGTCTTTTTGCTTGCTACGCTCTCTTTGGTGAACCCCAGTCCCATGAAAATCCTTAAATGTGTTTTTTTTTTTTTAGACTTTTGTCATTATTAAAGATTTTAACTGATTTTTTATCTATTAATAGGAACTGAATTAGCAAGAAGAAATAAGCTGACATCTGTACATATTTTTATTTTTGTATCAAAACACAAAATTTAATTCCTGTAACAATTATTTGAAAATAAATGAAATGAGAATTAAGAAATTTTCATTCATTAAAAAAAATATTTTTTGTCAGATAATCTACGGTATTACTTTTTGAAGTGAATGATTATTTATGGTAATTACTGTAATAATAGTTTGTGGAGCTTGTGTGGCATGACAGACAAAAGACTAAATAACTTTGAATAAGGAAAATGTATTAAATGATAAAGGAATCATTTAAAAAATGTTGATACATACAGGATGGTGGCAATAACAAACAGTAAGTTTTGAATAATCTGTCCAGAAAATGTCAAGATAAACTTAACACCCTAGTCCCCCCAAAGAAAACACACACGCAGGAAAAGAGCCAAAGTATGTTTTTAGTTTTACTTTTGTCTTTGATTCTCTCAAAGGTTTAGTTTAGATTTGTTTGTGGTTCAGTTCCTAATCCTTGTTTGTTTTCAAAAGTTGAGCTTTTCTCTGTTATCATTGAACAACTAAAAAAAAATTAAGGCTATAATCCAAGGACTGGGGAGGACAGAAAATGAAAGTTGATCCTATCAGCCCGCAATCAAATGGCTCTGGGTTCAGTCCATAGAAGAAGAAAAAAAAAAGCCCTGACATGTAAACAAGCTTGTCTGAATAACAAAATACTAAAGTTAACAAAAGTGTTCTGCAGCCAAATTCAGCATATAAAGAGAGAAAAGTAACAAGCTAAACTCACCACTGAGAGGAAATGATTCATTTGTGGGTATTTTAGGTCTACAAAGTAACTGGAAGCTGCTCAGAGCCTAGACCAGATTCCAAGATGCACCGAGGGAAAAAAGTAGTATGTTTCACATGATGAGGGGGCATAAACCTTTTGTGGACCTGTCATTTGTGATCTACAACTTTCCAGGTATCTGGAGTATAAATAGGACTAGAATGAGGTTTATTTATTTCCTCCAATGTTTTTTTTGCTGCTGTGCACACTAAAGGCTGATTTATACTCAGGAACCAGGTCGTCTGCGTTTTTGTTGCAGTGAATGCAAATGTGCCCCCGCCCCTGCCGCAGACACTCTGTGCATCTCCCCACAATTGTAGGTGACCAGAGACAGTGCCGCAGACAGGATGCCTCTGATTGGTCAAATCTATATCCGCTCTACGCTGTGTGTTTTTCCTGTTTGGTAACTTACTGGCTTGTTATGTTTGTATGACCGCCATTGCTGAAAACGACTATTTGTGAAGTTGGACCAGCTAGAAGAGCGAGGTGCGTGAGAACGCTGGGACTGTTTTTCTACCTGGATTCCCGCTCTTTCTCGCCCTCATGTTCCTCCGTTGTCACACAGACTTGCCCCCATTTCCTCATCGCCTCACCCGTATCTAGACCCATAGTTAGTTCCTGATTTTTCCCTCCTGCGTTGTGGCGTGAAATAACATAGCACAGACCACGCTTCAGTATTGGTACCTACGACAATTTCACTGCGACACACTGCTGCAGAGAGTATAACCAGTGCTTAAGCAGGAGGATGAATGGAAAATCCACAAATTCACCTTCAAAGAAGCAGAAAAGTGTTTTCAAATTGAAAAAGTCATAACAACCTTCAGGCCCCACAAACATTTTATTTGAAGAGATGCCTACCATGACAAACATTAACACTTGGAGTTTGATTAAACTCTCCAGGGTTGTATCTGTTGCTATATGGCTCAAGGTATTACATGGCTTCGTGAAATCTTTGAAATACCGGTACCTTGATATTCATTAATAGACTCTAGTTGGGACCTGGACATGAGTTACCATCCTGGTTATCACCTAGATCAGGCATCCCCAAAGTCGGTCCTCTAGGGACTTTGTCCTGCAGATTTTAGAGGTTTCCCTGCTCCAGCACAGCTGATTTACATTCATAGTTGATTAACAGGCTTTTGCTGAACTGCAATAATTAGAATCAGCTGTGCTAAAGCAGAGAAACCTCTAATATCTGCAGGACAACGGCCCTCGAGGGGATGCCTGACCTAGATGATGACATCAAAACTTACATTTCTATTTTGGTGCGAAAATGCTTCCCCAGATGCAAAAATAATGGAGCGTTCTAGTTGCCATCACTATCCCAAACCTGAATCCTGTGCTAAGCTTAATAGACTGCAGAGAAAACACTAACAATTTAGGATACAAGTTTATTGAACTCACCATGGGAAATAAACTTTTCACAGAAATCTGTTTGAATCCTGTTAGGATGCAAATTAAAGGAATAGTACACCCAAAACATGATTGGCCTTCATTTTCTACTCACCCCCATGCTGAACAACACTCTGGAGTTCTTTTTTGATATCTCAAATGCATCTGGAGATCTGGGAGGCTTCTTGCTGTCTGCTGACATTCGAATAATGGAGGTCTATTGTGCCCGAGACAGAAAGGTCCATAAAAGTCCACAAAAAACGTGTCAATATTCCTCCATACTGCTCGTCCAATGTATTCCAAGTGTCCTGAGTGGGTAGCATCCAGAATTTACTCGAAACAAAGTCATTTAGAATGTTTTTAGAGCATAAACAGTAGTGTATAGGATTTCCTGAAAGCGCGCACATGCGCGTTCATGACGCTACGGAAGCCGGCAGACCAAACCAGATGAAAATGCGCATTCAGCGTCTGCTCTGCCAATAATGCAAGCGTAGAAGAAGAAATGTGCTGTTTACCTGTGCAAAGAAAGAAACAACGAAAGAAAAATGTCTGAGGACTTCAGTGTTGAGGAAGAGCTTGAGTTCTTTGCTGAGCTGAATGCGCACTTTCATCTGGTTTGGTCTGCCGCGGTTTCCGTAGCGTCGTGAACGCGCAGGTGCGCGCTTTCAGGAAATCCTATACACTACTGTTTATGCTCTAAAAACATTCTAAATGACTTAGTTTCGAGTAAATTCTGGATGCTACCCACTCAGGACACTTGGAATACATTGGACGAGCAGTATGGAGGAGTATTGACACGTTTTTTGTGGACTTTTATGGACCTTTCTGTCTCGGTCACCATAGACCTCCATTATTTGAATGTCAGCAGACAGCAAGAAGCCTCCCAGATCTCCAGATGCATTTTAGATATCAAAAAAGTACTCCAGAGTGTTGTTCAGCATGGGGGTGAGTAGAAAATGAAGGCTAATCATGTTTTGGGTGTACTATTCCTTTAAAGTAGACAAATGGCTGTTGGTGTGATTGTGTAGAAAAACTATTGCTGGAGAAATATGCAAAATGTCAAATGAAAGGAATTCTAATGACGATATAAAGATTAATGATGTTTGCTCCAAATGAGTATAAAGTAATGAAGAACTAAGAGCTCTTCAAAGAACATTTTCTTCCCCCTAATAAAAAATGTCCTCAAAGTAATCGTTGGACTGAGACCATGATGCTACAATGACGGATACGTTTATTTTTCAGCTCTTAGAGCCTACAAGTGTGGCCATTTCTGTAGATTAAACTAATATGCTGGGAGAGACTCTGTAGCTGTAGGGGAACAGAAATATTTGAGCATCAACATGTGCTAAAGAAACAGTGATGAGACCAGGTGAGTGTGACAGACTGCAGTGCAGATATTTAGGGTTATCACCATTAGGTGGAAAGGAGGTTCACGCCACAGCCGTGCTGTTTACCCGTGTAACTGCTCTCCCAGATGTGGCTGTAGGTTTCTTTAGCTCTTACTGTGTCTCTGGAAATCCTCTGCTGGCACGTTAGCGCTGGGTGTTGCCCCCGGCCAGCTCACAGGAGATCAACAGTGAGGAGCGTATAGGGAGCCATTCACAGAAAGAGAGCAGCTGCATGTAGGAAAGCTTCCTCGCAGCAGAGCGCGGCACCACAAGCTGAGCTTGTAGATGGGCGGAGCGCTATTTCATTTAGCTGCAATCATTTCTAGTTATTTTGCTTTCATTTTAGTTGTTTATGTTTTAAACCACACAGGTGGAAATAGATGATAAAATATAGTAGCTTTCTTTGTTTGTCTTGCTTCTTTCTTCTGAACTTAGAACTGTAGGACTGGAAATGCTCCTTTTCCATTTTTTACAAGCATTTAAAAGTATTTGTAGACATTTTATAAGAGAACTGAATTTTTTTTTTCATTTGAACCTTGTTTGTAATGGTCAAATCATCAGAATATGTTCCTGAGGCAGGTTTTTTTTTAAAGTAGCAGAAAATAAAGTAAGGCACCTGAGTTGAATGAAAGCGAGAAATCAGCTGGGGTTAAAGTGGTTCCTGAAAGGTTGAATAAAGGCCACTAAATCAGGTTAATTGGAAGCAGGCCCAAGTACTTAGGCTTGTCATATACCCTCTTTAAGCAATCCATGTTGTTGAACACTGAAGCTATTGATCCTCTTTAGGAAATGGAAAGAAAGTGTTGCGTTTACTGACCTCTGCAAAGTGTGGCTACTGCTGAGATATTACGTTTTCCCCAACATATCTTTTTCTTTGGTTAAACACTCACTTGACAGAATGTTATAAAGTTGATGAAAGAAGTGTAAAAATGACGTACTATCTGATATCTGATCACAATAAATACTGTAGAGTAATTGTTGGTCTGTTTTCACATCCTCTAGCAAAGTCGAGCAGCTCTCACTTTATTGCTCCCATTCGAGGCATTTTCACAGATGAACACTGGAGATGTTGAGGAGAATGAGCGTATCATTCAGTGT